AATTTAAGTAATTCTGTTTTATTTTTTTTTTAAATAATGATTTTGCAATAATTCAGTATGTTAAAAATTCATGGACAATTTATATAGTTTAGTCATACATGTTTTGCAGTTTTGAACAGAATAATACACAATAGTGTTTGATAATTTGCCGAAGAAATTATTTACCAAGAAAATGTAACATATTGCATTTAATAAAATGACTTAAAGTGAACTGCGTCTTAGTTTGTTGTTGCTTGTAGACTGCTTGATTAGTGCAGAACATCAAAACACAATTAGACGAAATGTTGAAAGTGTAAGGCCCTACCAATCATAATTGATACGAATCTGAACTAGCTGGTCTATGTTCAACTTATTCTATTTTATTGATTTGTAAAGACAAATATTGAAATACACCGACAGAGTAAACAGCCCTTCCTAACGTATGCTACACTCACTGCCCAAAATAGACTATGTAGTTTACATTGTACAGATAACGTTTGTATGCGTGTATGTGTCAATATGTCACGTCTCCGCCACGACTCAGAAAAAACGTATGTTAAGCAAGTGACTACAAAAAAATTGAACAATTATTTTCTTCTTTAAGTAGTTGCATATTGGCACGTGTTCTCGGATGAGTGCCGATTGTGAACGCTTTTGCCTTATATTTATTAAAAAAATTATGTTTTTTGTTATTGGCTAATTCAATTTAGTACTAGCACAAAGTTATAGTTTAAATGTGTTATTTAATATAGTTTAAATGTGTTATTTAATTATATACAATATCTTCTTCATTTTATGTGTTAGCAATTCGAAAAATGTTGTCCTATATATCAACAACTAGTTTGTTTGTTTGTATGGTTTTTTTTCTTCAGAATTCAAGAACACATTTTTTTCTGTCGTATTTTTAAAAAAAATATATGTAAGAAAAGCGTGGATCTCTTCCTAATTATTAGTAAAGATATCCCATAGATAATATAGTGCCCCTCGCTTTTCTTTATGTTTATTTAAGGGCATGGGCGGGTGATGAGTACCAACTTCCTTATTTCCGAGTCTAAAGATGTAATACTTGGCTAATAGTTATAACTCAAAGAGTTAAGCATAAAAATATTTTTTTTAATTTTTTAAATCTTCCGTTGCCATGGTGACGGCGGCCATATTGGATTTTATTGACGATTTTTAAATGGAAATAACTCAAAAATGGTTTGTTCAAATTTCATGAAAACTTAATATAGTCTGCAGACACATGTGTTTAAGACTTCTGATAGATTACATTTTCAAAAAAGAAAATAGTTTTTTTTTTACTTTTTTTTTAAAAACATTACTGTAAAAATTTCATTATTTCGTCCAATTTTTTCACTATTTCAACAACAAAATTTTTTTTTTTACAAAAATTCCAAAAGTGTTCTATCAGTTTTCTTTGAACATATATAAAGAGTAACTGGAGCAAATTTAGTTCAGTTCTGATCATTATTAACAAAGTTATTTCAACAATTGTACAAAAAAACATCAAACTGAGAAAAACGCAAAAAACTAACAAAAAGTTGCAAAAAATGAACATTTATCGCTGTATGTCACTGAAATCGACCACATTTATAGCCTGAAGTATGGTGCTGCTGAATATATTCCTTCTGAGCTTGTTCGGCTGTTAGTTTTCTTTTTTTCTGGCGCTGTTTGTTTTACCTAGAGTTGTAGTAAAGCTGTTGTCATGGCGTCTTTTTTCGCGTCTTCACTGGGTCCTCGACTATGGTTTCCTTCTTTTGACAGCAATGCCATAGCATGCCTGGGCCCAAAATTGAATTATGCTATCACAGAAACAGCAGTATATTTTGCATGGTCTCATGTCTAAAGCCAATTATGATAAGACGTCTTTGTTTATTGTAAAAGGCCTTGTTCTGGATTCTTTTGCAGTTGTATACTTACGGTTTACAACATTTTTATTACTGCCACACCATGCTTGAAGCAAACCCTTTACACTGTTTTCATCAATAGTAGCCACTACATCACAGTGTGCGAGGAGATGTATTGATAACATCAAGAAGCAAATCACAGTCGACAATAATTCTGCATGGCTGTGGTTTACAATTAGTACTACTAGTACTAGATGTAACAGTGCTTTCTTCTGTCTGTAAAAACTGTGTCTTACATTGCCGCAGTTTCTTAGTAAATGTGCATATTAGATCTGCACCAGTGCTTGTCTGAATAGTGCTAGATTTAGTAGAGGTAGCTGCAATCAGTTGCATTCGGACGAGCCCTAGCTTTAGTAAATTAGTTAGATGTGTGTATCTATTTTTAGCGAGTATTTTGTTCTACGCATTATCGAAAGAGAAACAAATTAAATCGTCTCACTGCTTATGATAATTCACACAAAATAATCTAAACTGTTAATAGTATATTTAATTGAAATAATTATATGTTAAAATAATGTAAGTATTTTACAGAAGCTTAGAGAAACAAAACTAGATCAAACTTAGCAACGCGCTGAAACTAAGGGAATGTTTACTCCCGAAGCGAAACGACCAATCGCTAACTAGCTTCCGCCGTCGTATGCCAATGAAAAAATTGAGGTCAAAAATTTGCATACCGGAAAAACCCGACTGAGTAAAATAAACAACTTTATGGCGTAGAAAAATAATCACATTAAAATATGTATTTTGATTGGTCATTTAATTTTAGAACAAATAAAGAAAGGAGGTCACGGCCTTTCCATTGATATGAAACACATTAGGTTTCCGCGAAGCCTAATAGTACTTTTCTAGGTCGAAAAATTGCTATTTTTACCAAAAAATTAAACAAAAGACCATGTACACACTACATTGAACCCGGTTTTTCATAATTAAATACTGTTTTTAGGGTCATAACAATGTCATTTTTAGATTCAACGATGGATATTCTGTATAGATCAAGTAAAAGTGGGAAATCGATGATTTAGTGGATTTATGACGAAAAGTACACCCGCCCATGCCCTTAAATAGTAGTGTGTTATTATATATTTAAAGAGCATAACTTATGTTCCACTTTTTAGTGCACTATTACATAAAAATGTGCTATTAAAAAGTGTTTTATGAATTTGTTTTTAATAAATTAAATTTGTATTTTTTCTTTTGATAAATGTTTGGTTGGAGTTTCTTGAAGGTATAATATGCAATTGGCATTATTAATTAAAGCTATAGAGCTAAAGATGTGTGCCAGTCAACTGGGATTAAATACTTGTATTTGTTGTTCGATAGGTTTCGGACAAGTAATATACACAAGTTTATGTAAAAATAGGTAAAAAATATAATGATACAAAATGACGAGGTAATATACATGGCTTTTAGGTTTCATTGAGATGAATAATCTTAAAAGTCGGCTGTTTCTTGCTCAACCCGTATTTTTAGTGATACTTAGAATTTAAAACTTATATAAATATATTTGTGAGCGGTGACTGTAAGACATTTAATACCAGATTAACGTTAGTTTTTTTCGATCAGACAAATGAAATCTTAAGCAACAGCACTAAGAATTTACATCCGCGGTAATTGACTTGGCAATTAATAAATGACGTTAGGGAGCAGGGCCATTTCACTGTCTTCGTAGGGCCAGGCATTTTTGTGGCATCCGTAAGCCCAATACTCAACAGCGGCTATGACACCGACACCAGATTGTGTAATGTTTATATAGCGATAAAATGGTGATGCTTGCATTAATTTAAGAGTTTAAAAATCTCAACAGCTCTTAAATCGATGTTTTTTTTAACTGTTAGCTTTCTGAATTTGTGTAGACCCAAAGGTTCGTACGCCCTAGACACAGTACCTATTGTGTTAAATAGATAAGACTCTGTGGAAGTGGAACATTGTTGGGAGTAATTAACAAGTTGTTATAGTCAAGCTTCCTACACGATATTTCCTTATCCCTTTCCGCTTTTAACACATCGTCATAAAATTAACCTCACCCATCTCAATTACATGATGCTTTAAGGATTAGGATTAGCATTAGGATTATGTTCTGGTTCAGGTTCAGGATCAGGTATAGGGTTAGGTTTAGGTTAAGTTAAACATACACAAACACATGCACATGCACATGCACATGCACATATATATATATATATATACACACATATATATATATATATATATATATATATATATATATATATATATATATATATATATATATATATATATATATATATATGCACATGCACATGCACATGCACATGCACATGCACATGCACATACACATACACATACACATACACATACACATACACATACACATACACATACACATACACATACACATACACATACACATACACATACACATACACATACACATACACATACACATACACATACACATACACATACACATACACATACACATACACATGCACATGCACATGCACATGCACATGCACATGCACATGCGCATACACATACACATACACACACATACACACACATACACACATACACACATACACATACACAAATACGTATAAAAATATATGTTTGAACATCTATTATGTACAAACATGTGTGGCCTATTGTGTTTGTTAGAGTAATTGCTAATTTACAAACACAATGTTACTCAATAGAAAGACAATACAGGTAGTTTTTTTTTTTTACATTGAATTATTATTTAAATTAATTTCAGTTTATTTCAATTTATTTACAATTGCATAACATGTATTATTATTTTCAATATATATGATACACACTGATGTCCCGTGAACTTATTTAAACAGTTGTCTTTTAAATAGTTTGTCTCAAAAATACGGATTTCAATTTAATATTTAGGAAAACAAACTATGTTATATTTTTTAACGCACGAAAGGTTACACTTAGTGCCCATGTACAAAGAAAAAAAAATATATTTAAAAATATAATTATTTTATATGTTTATTGTAGTCAATAAAAGCATATTAATTGGTGATCACATTGAATTAGATGGAACAGTGTTATGACGACTAAACTAATAGCATATAAACCATTCACATTTTTGTAGACATGTAGTCTACACACAGGTTGTTAGCGTGTGTTTAATATAGTGGTTGCATATTTTAATGTTTTAAAAATGTATTGTCAATCATGTTTTGTGTTTTACTTCTATAAACTAACGATAGTGAAACTACTAAACCAGGATAACACTGCGTTTTGATCTGCTCCGATTACTTCAAAGTAAAGTTCTTCCCCCTCCTTCATGTCAACAACCACTGACCCAGCAGCGCTTGTGTCAGCAGAGCTTACTCGTATACTAGTACACAGCCTCTCTCCAATCCTCACACCAACTACAATAATTTTATCTTTACTTTCATATAGAGTGACACAGACAAGATATAAACCATCATGTGGTGATACAAATTTTCCTGTTGTTTGATTAAAATGTTGACCGTTATATTCACGTACTTCATCAAAGGTTGAAATGTTTGATCTAGTACTGACACGTGTAGATTCGTTGATTTCCAAACAACAAACATATCTTTTATTTACACGTGGCTCTGTTGATTAGAAAACATATATATGATTTACATGTTCCATAATTTGTGCAACTTTGCAAAATTAAAGCTTCATTGAGTAAAAACAATCTTCTTCTTCGTTCTTAATTATTAGTGTTGAAGGGGATCGAGATTTATCAACCATGATCTTATTTTGCCAACTCGACCACGCCTCAAACACAATTAAGCGTTACGTGTCAACTGGTTATGCGCCATTGAGGCCATTGACTCCGATTTCAGCCTGCTTTTCTTTCTGGATTTGCTTCCATAGCCTTTGTCCAACCAAGAACAATCTACAAGGCAGCAGTTGTTTAATTTTGGAGTTGTCTCTCCTAGAAGAGTGGCTGTCCCCAGCTAACGAGCCTCATCTGCCCGAGTGTTCGAACTCGAGACTTTTCGGTTTAGCAACCATGAGCTTTACCGACTCGACCACGCCGACCCCTAAAAACAATCTAACAAGATGGGCTGTGGTGTATAGAGCATAAATTATTAAATAATGAGGAAATTAAATTATTTTATCAAACAATGTTTATTTTGCAAAATAACAGTATGTAGTAATTTCGCTACAGTACTCAACGGTAAGTAAAAACATGTTAAAGTAAAAAAAAATGATTAATCATTTATCAGATCCCAAATCTGGAGCATCAGAAATTCATTTACAAGATAGCAATTTACATTTTTTCACTATATTACTATTACCAGTTATGTCATATTTCTTAGTAATCATTCATCTTTTTATTGTGTCAGTCAATAAGCAGCCTCAGTTTGCTCAGCAGGACCTCTATCTAGTATAATTTGAAATTGTTTTAAATGCAAAGTTGTTTTCAATGACTCAAACGTGTTGATAGGAAAGAAATCAGAATATATCTACAATGCTGATGTTCGGCCACTATTAGAACATGTGCCTGTGCAATGAAACCAGAGACATGACTGTCAGAAGCCAATGAATTGATTTAGGTCTGCTATATCAAAGACTTTAAGCTTTATCTAGATTCCTCTGTGCAATGTAGATCTAGAAAATCTGTTTGCCGATTATACTAGCATAGTCTTATCCATGGTGTGAAATAAAATAATCTTGAACAGTCGAAATGCCTTGCACTAAAAACTAAGTTCCAATTCCTCACAAATGCTAGAGAACATTCATGGACTAGCATCTGCTTAGATTTTATTAATGTAAATCTTATAAATATAGGTCTTTAGCTTAAGAATGTATATCAGAATAAAGTCTACCACTTTACTTGTGCTGAACCAATCCCTTTATTCTCTCTACATCACTTTCTAAGTGTTCAATTTCAGTTACAGTACACCTTCAATATCAGGTAAATAAATAGATGAATAATAAGACATAAGTGACCAAAGAAATATGCAGTCTCTATTTCAGACATAATTCTTTTGTGAGAATCTTTACTTATCCTCTAAAAAAAATCACTACTAAACCCAACAATATATTATTTCTAGATTTATTTACTTTATCTTCATGCAATCACAAATTAAATTATAATTCAAATAAAAATAATACATCACTGCTACTTTTTATATACTAGATTATTATTGTATTTGCAAGTATAAGTACTATATTTAAGAATGTCAATAAAATATTAGTATGCCATTTTTTTGTAATAATAATTACCACTACATCCATAGATCCATAGATCCAAGAAAAACAGACAAATCAAACCATTATAAAAATTTAAATGGATTATCATCCAAAATATTTACATACTTTTGTCAAAGACCACTAAATTTAGCTACTAGTTTATTACCGTGCTCAGTTTTAGTGGTGTTAGTCAAAGGCGTAGCGACCCTTCGCGGCGACCGGGGACAAACTTTCAATTTGGCGCCCCGCTCGGGAACAATCTTTTAATTTTCAATTTGCACCCCCCCCTCAAGCTTTCCATTTGCACCCCACCCCCATATATATTTTATATTTATCATGCAAAACTGCAGCCCCTCCCCCCTCGCTACGCTTATGGTGTTAGTTTATTGTTCTTAAGGAAAAAAAAAACACGAGTGTGGTAGGTCAATTAATACGTCAAATAATGTATAACAAAAGTTACATCATGCGTTATTTTAGAAGTATTCCGCTCGTATGTGATCACATTATAGTCACATTATATGAGATTACAATATCCAAAAAAGCATCACTAGCACTTTAGTTATTCTGTTGTACTTACTTATACGTGAGGTGGGGGGTAGAGAGATATTGAATAAAGTTAAGTAAAAGTAATAATATAAAAGTAATAAACTTTGTACCGATTTCAAAAGTGTTTATTTTTGTTTAAAATTTCAACAGAAAAAAAAGTAGAATTGTCATTACATCGCCATTGTTATACGTTTTTTTTAAAGATAATTCTTTACTAAGATTATTCAATTTTATTCAAAGCATACTTACCGATTAGAGCAAAATGTTCGGACAACTTTGAAATTGTATTTTCAATAGTGTCAAGCTAAATATAAAATAAAGATTAACATTAGTTATGGCAACTTATAAGTGCATAAAAATGTATTTAATCCTATATTATGATAATAAAATTATTGACAAAAACAGATATTATCGACTAATCTAATAACTGATTGTTAATATTTAATGCATGATTGATCATTGTTGCAATTTGGTTTTTTTTAAATAAAATGGTAGCAAACGTAGGTTTACCTTCTGTGTTCTTTCTTCTTTAGTTTCCAAGTTCTGGTTAAAGATTTGAATCAGTTTGTCAATGGGCATCAACCTTTGTTGTAGGAGTTTGTACATCACACTGTGCTAAATATCCGATAATTTAAATGGGTTATTACAACTTTGGCTAGTTCTAATGTATATGGAATTAAAGAAATTACAATTAGCCTTAACAATAGTTTAAAATTAAAAGGTATTACTGTTTGAAAAATTAATCAGCTGACTTTTAAAAGTTGTCACTACTTGATCTTACAATTAGTAGAGAGCAAACTAAGTAGGTGTAAACTTGTGTACCCAATTAATTTGTACCCAATTAATAATCCATTTGAATGATTACCTTTGATTGCACCTCCTCAAGTTTGGTTGATGTATTAACCATGATTTTATTGGTATCTTCTTGTAAAAAATTAATCTGATCAGAATGTATTTTCATTTCTTTTTTCATATTGTCTGTTTTATCTGTTTGATTTTGCATCTCCTTATCTATTTTGAGTAAATAGTTTTCATATTTTTTCATATCTAGCGATGTCTTTGACTCTAATTCTTTTAAATTTTCAATTTCTTTGTTTAGCTCCTTCATTTTGGAATATTGTTCACTAATTTGCTTTCTAAAGCTTTTAAAAATCTGCTTTTGTTTTTTATTTAGTTTTTCAATGTTTACCCCCATTTCACTCAGTTCTCTTACTAAGCTGTCTCTCCATTGTTTTATTTCTGATATGTCATCTGTAGACTTGATATTGGTGACTTGTATGGAATACATGGTTGTCTCTATAAGATCAAGTCGACTGACGTCTTGTAGAGAAGATATGGCTGTCTCTATCTGCTCAAGTCGACTGACGTCTTGTAGAGAAGATATGGCTTTCTCTATCTGCTCAAGTCGACTGACGTCTTGTAGAGAAGATATAGCTGTCTCTATCTGCTCAAGTCGACTGACGTCTTGTAGAGAAGATATGGCTGTCTCTATCTGCTCAAGTCGACTGACGTCTTGTAGAGAAGATATGGCTGTCTCTATCTGCTCAAGTCGACTGACGTCTTGTAGAGAAGATATGGCTGTCTCTATCTGCTCAAGTCGACTGACGTCTTGTAGAGAAGATATAGCTGTCTCTATCTGCTCAAGTCGACTGACGTCTTGTAGAGAAGATATGGCTGTCTCTATCTGCTCAAGTCGACTGACGTCTTGTAGAGAAGATATGGCTGTCTCTATCTGCTCAAGTCGACTGGCGTCTTGTAGAGAAGATATAGCTGTCTCTATCTGCTCAAGTCGACTGACGTCTTGTAGAGAAGATATGGCTGTCTCTATCTGCTCAAGTCGACTGACGTCTTGTAGAGGAGATATGGCTGTCTCTATCTGCTCAAGTCGACTGACGTCTTGTAGAGAAGATATGGCTGTCTCTATCTGCTCAAGTCGACTGACGTCTTGTAGAGAAGATATGGCTGTCTCTATCTGCTCAAGTCGACTTAATATTTCTATGGCATTATAAAGTTAAAATAATCGCAGTAGTAATAATGTCTGTATGGCATATGCTACCTTTTGACCAAGAAAAATACATTGTAATTATTCAACGTTTATTATTGTATTGTTTTATAACTTTTCGTCTAATCGGATAGGCGCTGGTAAAAAAATAATACTTGTTAGAAAACAATTATGTTTTGGTTTGTTTAAGGTACATCAAATTATGCATGTCCAAAAACATTTGCGAAAAATCATGATGACTATGACAACGGCGGCCATCTTGAAAATTAACCCCTTCGTAGGTTTTCCACTATTCATAAATATTATATTTTTAGTCCAATAAACAATGAATTTATTTTTTCTACCATACCTTGGGGTACTCAGCTAAAAATTTTAAGTGCATATCTTCAAACAAATTTTTATGAATTTTCAAATTGTGGGTCCGTTAAAAACATTAGTTTTAATGCCCCCCCCCCCCCCCACACACACACACAAAAATCATTACAATCAAAATTTTTCGCAATAATGGGTTTCTTGCATTTTTTAAATTGTATGTTCATTTTTGTATTAAGAAAATAATAAATTTAATGGGAGTATTTTTAAATGTGTTTCAAATAAACTTTCTATGACACATTCTATAAGCATTTTCCCGAATTTACAAGCTCTCTACGGAAACTTTAATATTCATCATTATATTGTGTTAGGCATCATTTGAGAGCTGGCTTTCTCGTGCATTTTATAATATTATCTCCAACATCTCTGAAACACACAAAGCTGACAACCAGCTTTACAAAGTACACAGAAATGGTATTTTCGTGTCTTGCTTTTCGTTTCTCTTTGCTTTTTTTCTTAGTTAGCATTTTTTTACACTGACAAGACTACTTTTTTATTTCTAAAACAATGCCCACCATATGTTTCAATAATTGATCTTCATGCAAAAATAAACTTTTGCCACTACGCAATCGTAATGGCTAATTTAGAAAAAAAAATTAAAAATATGCAAATTATGAAACTTTTACATACTAAAAAGGATGCTTTTTTCAAACCTTTTAGAATGCTGACTAGTAGCTCTATCAAAACGTTGTCGTGGCAAAAATTTTAATATATACTGAATTAAAGGCGTTCAAATCTGATTTCTATAAGTGCATAAATAAAAATGTCTAAGAGTTTTTAAAAGTACTGGAAAACTGTAAATGGTGAAGGATATTTCGTGTTTCCTGACAACCGAAATTGTTTCCAACCTTTTTAAATGTTTAATAGTTACTTTCAACTGCCGAACATGGTAAACGTATTAAAAGACTTTTTTCTTAAATTAGAAAAATACAAAATAATGAGCAAAATCCATTAAATATTTATGTATACCTGATGGGTCAAAATGTTCTTTAAGAATTTCACATGTTGACTGACTTTGGTCAAGTTTTTCTGTTGCTGTTTGTTGCGTTGACTTAGATGAAAATGACGTTTCTTCTTTAGTATCAACATTGTCGTTATTTTCGTCTTGTAATTTTAAATGAATAATATTTATTTTAAAAATATATTATAGGAATTCATGTCTTTTTCTCAACAAGTAATAATTTCTAGTTTTGATTTTTGTTTTGATTTTTTTTTGCAAAGTATAATATGTTTTTGTGCAACATTGTTTAGGGTATTTGATATATTAAAATATAATATCTTAGAATATCCACACAAAAAATAATCTATAATTTTCCAGGCTTACCTGTAATTATTTTGTATTACATGACAGCTATTTAATTGATACTCCAGAATATAAAATAATATAAAATAGACTTTTATTTTAATATATTTACCTAATATGTGAGCCGCTACATCCAACATTGTCAGGGTAGCTGATTCAAGTTCTTGACAAAGATCGCTATATGTCAACGATTTGTTGTCACTTTTATCTTCTAACCAAGTCTTACTTTTTTCTACAGCCTGACGACATAAAGCATTTTCACTTAGCGTTAAAATGTGTGTCAGCATGTTATTTGAGAACATTGGTTTTTTTTAGTGTTTGTAGTTTTTTTTTAATAATAAAGAGCCTACTCTATATTTATCTTCAACAAGCTCAATGTAAAAAGGAAACAAAACAAAAACGTTTTAATAACCACTTTTTATGTACTATGCACTAACAATTAGAAAATAATTGAATTTCTTTAAATATATAATAATACACTACTATTTAAATAACTATATAGAAATGCGTGGGTCACTTTATTATCTAGTGGTTAGCTTTACTAATATTTTAGATGAGACCTACGCTTTTCTTTATAGCTATTTAAATAGTGTTAATATTATTATATGTATAAAAAAAATCATTTATTTTATAATTTTTAGTGCATTATTATATACAAGCTTGTGATTAAATCGTTTTTTGTTTATTTTTCAGTACTTTATTTTTTTTTTAGTTTAGGATGGAGTAGCATGCCTAAAAATCATTGAGCTCCGAAGTAACGTCATAATTCGTAGTGCGGAAAAGTTTGTGGATAAGACCGCCTACTAATTTTGACACAATTTTAAGTAATTCATAGAAAAATTAATTAGGCATTCAATTAAGTCAAATTTAATGTCAGATTGTCTTGTCTTCATTTCTTGACCCACGGGCCAAATTTAAAATGAAGCTGTCTGTTAGAAGTGCCCGAAATTTCGTTCGAGCAAATCGATCTATCACGACAGACTGTTGACAGACTGACGACAATCTGGACGAGGAAGCAGGTAAAACAGCTTGTAAAAAGCACCAATTCTATGATAAATGCAGGCAGAAACAACTTACAATTTGCAAAGCTTTAACCACAGGTTTAATGGCTTTTATCTTTTCCTCTATATATTTCATGTGGTCGGTTACATATTTGATCTGAATTCTGGGACGCATCTGAGTAAAACAGAAATAGTTTGAATAAACAACTGAGGCGTAGCGACCCTTCCCAGCGCCCGGGAACAAACTTTCAAACTGGCGCCCCCCACGGGAGATAATTTTCAATTTGCACCCTCGCTCCTCAAAACTTCGATTTGCACCCCCCCCCCCCCTCAAACTATTAATAATGCAAAAATGCAGCTAAAATGTCATTTTAAATTAAATTAATGTGTTTTTACAACCCATTTTGGCGCCCCCTAAGGTCGGCGCCCGGGGACATATGTACCCGGCTGCCCCCCCCCCCCCCCCCATCGCTACGCCTCTGATAAACACACTAGAACGCACATTGCGATTTAGAAAGACGTTATAAAACAGCTATTATACACTATATATATATATATATATATATATATATATATATATATATATATATATATATATATATATATATATATATATATATATATATATATACACATAAGCAAAGACTTTATTTATTTAAACATTATTTATAAACAATTAATTTCTGAGCATGTAAATCAACTTTCTTTTCTTGTCGTATATGTGTTGTGTAAAAACACAGATTTAAGCTTAACGTGACTATTTTAAAAAGTAAACTCACTTTTGACAGAAGAATAAAACAAAGTGTTCAATGAACGAAATGTTAAGGCAATAACACAATTTACCTCTACCGTGTAGGAACGTCTGTGTGTGTACTTTCTACTGGCCCGTTCTTTAGCTTAATTTCCTGTCATTTATCTTCTCGATAAATATAGAAAACATGTTAACTTAATGGTGTTATCATCCATTTGACACATGATATGACTTTATCAGTTATGTCTTCTGTGTGAAAGTGAGATCAAAACACGTTGAGTATATGCCAGCTGATCGTGTATGTCTAGGTGCCTGTGACCTACTATAGTTAGTACATCAGCCATTTACTAATTTATATAAACAATTGCGTCATTCTAGGTAAAAAGTTGCATTAAGGATTTGTAAAATTTCACAGGCACACTGTAAAAACAATTGTGTATTTAAAATGACTTAACACTATTTAGGATATTAAAATCCTGGTTTTCTCATCACATATGTTGTTCCAAATGTCTATATGCAGATCCTTAAATGTATAACTTTGATATTCTAATATACTACTTAATTTATTACATCTTAATAAGCAACACCTAGAAAACAAACACACCTTGATTTTATCAAAAAATGTTCCGATAATAAAATGGTTTATCAAACAATAACTATTGTCATTGATAATTTATACTCCGATATATGCATTGTAAAATTATTGTGTATATCTTTTTTATAAAAGAAATAAACCGGGAGTGATCTCCCCTAAACTTTCTCGAATATTCTAATATAACACTACCGGGGATGGCAACTCGGGATATAGACTTCTAGACATGATTTTTAATCCATTTTAAATACTCAATTTTTTAAGATAGAATACAATCTCGTAGAAAAAAGAAATGCACACCAAGTGAACGCTAAATAAAGATGTGCATAATAGTGCGCAATATTATTAGTACTTTATAAATTTACGTGCGTTTTTTGAGAAATCGGAAATAGCGTAAATAAGTACTTCCGGTCAACGGAAATTACTCAAAATTTGACAGAAGGTAGAGAATTAGATCTTTTACATATCAAATTTCATTTATCTGTCTGAAATAGTACTCAAGTTATAGGCTTTTGAAAAATTCAAAGTAGAAAAAGTACCACTTCCGGTTATCGGAAATCGCTCAAAAGTTGATACGGATCTACGATTTTGATAAAATACTTATGTATGAAATTTCATCAACCTAGCTGTAACGGTACTCAAGTTATCGTGTTTACACACGGACACACACACACACACACAAACAAACACACACACACAGACATACGAACAAGATTGCAAAATTATGTTTTTCCGTATCAGTGAGATGTAAAACGTCGAGATTTGCAAAAATCTCGATTTTTTTTTTGCACGATTACAAGACTTTCTTTATACTTCGTATATACGAGAAAGTAAAGAGTTACCTAATTGCTAAGATATTTTACTTATCTCTAAATAATGTTTTTTTTCCTAAAGGTAAATGATGATTAAAATGTGATGTCAAATTACATTGTCATCGGGTCTTGCATCGCAGCTACTCTCGACGTGTGCGATTGTTGCCTTTAAACTAAGTTATTAATTTCTTAACATTAACCATTTATAATTAAAAACTGCAGCAGTTTACCCCTCTTTGGTGTCGGCAGTGGCCAACCCCGTACCTAGCTCCTCCTGCCCCTACATTTAGCTACCCCCATGTCGCCAATAAAAGTATGTTAAAACAGCTAAGCGTATTACAAAATCATTTATCTACAGAATAATAACTTTCAGTCAGTCCCACACTATAAAGAAAAGTATAACAAACATTATTTTTTAAATCCTTGCAAATATTGAGGTTTTTCTATACGTCTAAAGAATTTTTGATTTATTTTTGAGTGTCAACGTTTGAAATATATTAGTAATCGATGTTAATTGATTTTAATCAGTGAAGTAATTTAATACTGTTGTTTGAACCATAAAGCTATAATAATTTTATCTTTACACCGTGTTATACTCGGCTACTTATGTATTTTTGGCTCGTTTGGGCCAGGTGTAACAATTATAAACAAATACAATCTACAACTAGAATCTGTATCCTAGGTGTATTTATCATCAAACACAAGAACACATTCGAGTAGGTACACAATGTTGACATCACACCACAAGCTTCACACACTGCCTAGTTCACGCAATTTTTCCCACTTTCAAGGGGATGCTACTCACACACACTCTCTCCCTGCCCATACATTTTCTTTTAGACATTCCACGTCACACACCGTATTTATCAACAACTAGGAAATCTACATTTATATTGTTTAACTGTTAGGAGGGTTACACCCACTTCTCTCCCGTTATATGCTATGCGCCCTATAACACGCTAAAACTGCATGCAGCCTTCTTTTATTTCTGGATTTTCTTCCATAGCCTTGTCCATAAGTACAAGGCAGCAGTTGATTCATTTATGAGTTTCCTCTGCTAGATGTTCAAAACTAACGTGGCTAACCTGGCATAGGGACTGAACTCGCGACTTTAGTGTCAGCAATAATCAGCTCTTTTACCTGAACACGGGGATAAAGACGTGGCGGTGTGACATCATTGGAACATTAGACATGGCGTCGTTAAATATTATTGTGTTTGGTATAGTATTCATTTATAATTAAAATTGACGTATGCAATTGAGAATTGAATATTAATAATATTTTGCATCCCATATTTAAATAAAACAGACCATTAAGATGCATGTTTGCAACTAGACTCCACTAGACCCATGGGTATTCTATACTAATGTAGACAGATCCATGCTACTTCAATGTTTTTAAACATTTTGCTGTGGTCAGTTCTGCTATGTTATTTGTCTTTATTGAGATCTGTGGCGAACAAATGTACATGTTATCGTCAATCATCTTCTTAACCGCCATGAGAGATGTTTGATGTGTGAAACCATGTAAGCTACAGTGCTTTGTTTTTTATAAAAGAAAAGACAAAATGAAATCAAGCTGGGGTAGGTTTGTTTAATTTAACGTAACATTTATTTCTCTACTAAACCCTAACCCAACAGACTGAACTAAACCTTTTTAAAGCCCTAATCAAACCCAGATTCTATCCCCACACACAATATATTTCCTTGTTCCGTATACCTGCCTAATGTTTTTTACTTTTATTAAGCTTGTGCAACACCAGGCGGTGCTGTATGTATAATTTATATAAATCAATGGACAGAGTCAAGGTATTAGTTAATTAACGGTTGTGTTACGGACAACACAGCTCAACTATATGTCTCTTAGTAACAGGGTAGCTTGTCCAAAATGCAAATTATATATATATATATATATATATGTATATATATATATATATATATATATATATATATATATATATAAAGCAATGTATGTGTGTGTGTCTGTGTGTGTCTGTGTGTGTGTCCGTTATGCATTACCACACCTCTTATCACGTCGCCGTGAAACTTTGGGAAGTTGTGGAGAATATTCCTGGGGAGGTTTCTGCGAAAAAAAAATGTAAAATTCGCAGGGGTGGCGCACCGGCAGGGGGCGATTTGTTTTTCTCTTTTTACGGTATATAAAAATAAAAGTCGATTTTGGTTTGACAGCGTTCACCCGATAGCCACGAGACTTTTAGGAGTTGATTAGAACACTCTAGGGAAGGGTTCTGTACAAAAATCATTTTTAATTTCGCAAGGGCGGCGCTACGGTAGGGTACGATTTTTTTCTACATACGGTTTTAAAAAATTTCGGTTTCACACCGTTCATCCGTGTACCATGAAACTTTGGGGAGATGATTAGATCACTCAATGGTAGGGTTCTGCAAAAATATATTGTTTAATATTGCAAGGGCGGCACCCCTGGGGGGGGGGGGAGCAATTTCTTTTTTCTCTATACACGGTATATAAAAAATAAAACTCGGTTGCGGTTCATCCAAGTGCCATAAAACTTTAGGGAGTAGATGAGAATACTCCCGAGAATATTTCTGCGAAAAACAAAACTAAAGTTTCTTTTGGGCGGCGCCATATAGGGTACAATTTTCGTCAATACACGGTTTGGCGCCCAGAGTTTTAGAGCGACTATGTTGGCACTTGGCATCTGTTAATCGAGCGTCCTGCATATATACTACTATATTCAGCGGCAAAACTACAACAGGCAGAATATTTCTGCGAAAAAGAAAACTAAAGTTTCTTATGGGCGGCGCCATGTAGGGTACAATTTTCGTCAATACACGGTTTGGCGCCCAGAGTTTTAAAGCGACTAAGTTGGCACTTGGCATCCGTTAATCGAGCGTCCTGCATAGCGAGTAAGGGGTACTACTATATTCAGCGATAAAACTACAACAGGCTTCTTAAAAATAACCTTGTAACGCGAGGAAATCCTGTACAGTTTCGTCACCTTGCGAAAGATGAAAAAATAACTTTTTGAGTATGAGGAGCCTACTGTAGAGTTTCGTCACTTTGCGAATGATGCAATAAGCATCTATTATTAGACAATTGAGTCAGAAATTGAGATCGTGCATTTAATAATAGACCATAAGTAACGCTAGCATATTGCATCAGTCACACTGATATTTAAAACACGTCAAATAATTTTTTTACGTGTTAAAGAAAAAAAATCCTGTTCATTTGTGTCACTTTAGCGAATGACGAAATCTGCATCATTATTAACAGGATGCTATTTGGCCGATGGCGCCTGTTAGCTTTAAGGAGCCAGGGGTCGTACGCCGCGCCTATGCGGTAGTGTAATCGGGGGGGGTGGGGGCCCTGAGAGCGCCCCTATACGTCTCTGACACAGAGGAGGTCACCGAAGTGTGTTCCACCATATTATTTCGGTGAGTGATTAATGACACTCAAGGTTTTCATGCGGTAGTGTAGGTAAACCCGTGTCCTGATATTTATGATCCAAGAACAGGCATTGTTTACATTTAAATGACTCATTTTTAGAAAAGAAGGTCACGCGTCTAAGAACATATAATTATAATTGATAACGCGGTGATTAAATCCTAATATATTTCGTCAAACTTTCTTCTATCCCCGCGGCAACGCGCGGGGGTCGGGTACGCTAGTATATATATATATATATATATATATATATATATATATATATATATATATATATATATATATATATATATTTGTATGGTCTATTATTGTGTGTGTGTTTGTTTAGGTAGGTGTTAATTTACATACAATGTAACTGAATAAAATCACAAGAGTTGTTTTTGTATAGAGAATAACTGTAATTTATTTATTTTTTTTACCTCGAAACAAAATACCAGTTACTGGCAGTGTCTTTCAAAATATTTACATATGCATAACGTGGATAATTTTTTTAAATATATCTGACACATATTTAAGTGAACTTATTCCAGCTTCTGATTGTTTAAATAGTTCATTTAGTTTGCCTCGAAAATGTGGATTACAATTTCCTGTTTTACACACAAGAAACTAGGTTTTATGTTTAACAAATAATATAGTACACATAGGCTACAGTTGTTATGCATCAAAACAAAAGATATTTAAAAATAGATTTATCTGATATATTCTCGTGGTTATTGAATTAGTTGGAACTGTGTAATGTTGTCTAAAAAAACCAGGAGTAATCTCCCCTAAACTTTCTCGAATATCCTTATATAACACTACGTCGGATGGCAACTCGGAATATAGACATGATTTTTAGTTACTTAAACTTTTAAAAATAGAATAGAATCTCGTAGAAAAAAGAATTGCGCGCCAAGTGAACGCCAAATAAAGATGTGCATAATAGTGCACAATATCATTAGTACTTTATAAATGAACATGCGTTTTTGAGAAATCAGAAATAGCGCTAACTACTACTTCCGTTCAATCGAAATCACTCAAATTTGACAGAAGGTATAGAAGTAGATCTTTTACTGACATGTGAAATTTCGTTTATCCATCTAAAAAAGTACTCAAGTTGTAAGCTTTTGAAAATTCAACGTAGAAAAATTACCACTTCCGGTTATCGGAAATCGCTCAAAAGTTGATACGGATCTACGATTTTGACAAAATACGTATATATGAAATTATTTTATCAACCTAGCTGTGACGGTACTCAAGTTATCGTGTTTACACATACACACAGACACACACACACACACCGAGACACACAGACATACAGACACAATTGCAAAATTATGTTTTTTGCGTATCAGTGAGGTATAAAACATCGATTTTTGCACGATTACAAGACTTTCTCTATAGGCCTACACCGTATATACGAGAAAATAAAAAACAATATATAAACATACTTTCGTAGACATGTACTCTAAACATAGCAAAATTTTAGCAAGTGTTTAACATGGTTGTTTTATGTTTTTTTTTGAGAATTCACCATCCACCATGTTTTGTGTTGTACTTCTATAAACTAACGATAGAAAAACTACTGAGGTAGGATAACGTGGCGCCTTGATCGGCGTGAGACACTTCAAGGTAAAGTTCTTGACCTTTCTTCATGTCAACAATCACTGACCCAGCTGCGCTAGTGTAGGCATATTTCACTTCTATAGACATACACCACCTGCCTCGAACCATCACGTTAACTACAATATAATTATCTTTACTTTTATTTAGAGTTACACAGACAAGATATAAACCATCATGTGGTGATACAAATTTTCCTGTTGTTTGATTAAAATGTTGACCGTTATATTCACGTACTTCACTAAATGTTGAAATAATTGATCCAGCACTGACAGGTGTGCGATCATCAAGCTCCACATGACAAGCATATCTGTTACATACACGTGACTCTGTTGTTTAGAAAACATATGTATGATTTACATGTTCAATTTCACGAATGGTTTCATCCATGTATGACGTCCACAAAAATTTGGAATTTTAACAATTTTTTATTTTTATTGAAGATGCTGTAAACTGAACATTTTAATGGTATTTGTGGCTGTCTAGTTATTAACGAATATTTGGGTTAGAGTTAATTAAGCATAGCAACGTGACGTCATTATATTACTCTAACACAACTTAACGATACACATGTTTCCATAACAAACCCCCTCCCCCCCTTTAGTCCTAGTCGCGCTGACAGTGAGCCCTACACACCTGATCAAGCATGCATATTTTGATCCATAATATGCGCATTATTAGTTTCTGTTACTAACACTTAACAAAAACTCATCATGTCTTTTGAGTGTTGTTAAAAATGAAAGTAAAAATGGCAAACCCTAATCAAACAATTTTTTTTTCAAAAAAATGAATTTTGTATAATAATCCATAAAATTTACATAATTTTGTCTAAGACCTACAAATTGAAACACTAGACCACTAGTTTAGTACGGTCCTCAGTTTTAGTGGTGTTAGTTTATCGTGTCCTACGTATTGAAACTACGAGTGTAGAAATTCAATTAATACCTCCCAAATGGTACAATTAAGGTTATATGCGTTATATTATAATCATTCAGTCCGTATAGTTTAATTATATAAGGCTAATTTATCGTAACAAGAATCTCTAGAACTATATTTATTATGTTGTACTTTTGAAACTCAAATAAAACGATTGAAAAAATTAGCACCATAAACCTATTCTATAGCTCATTTCATGTTACAATAAATTAATTTTATACTAAGATGTTACAAATATAATAATTATCTTTGTCTTTCAGTTATTATTTTATTTTAGATTTAATTCCTGGTTCGTATGGGACTCCGTCTTTATATTAGACAAATAAAAGGATGATGTGACGATAATTGAATTTATTTTATTTTAAACTACAGCTGTGTAATGTTTTGCTGTACTAGGGTAGACCGCTGTAGGTCGACCCCCGACATACCAGGTGGTGTAATGTACCAGGTGAGGAAACAAACACCTGACGGAAACCCACGGGTCTAGAGACTGGCACTATGGGTGAGTGAAATGTTCCATTCTTTATCACGTTATGGTCTGTCTGGCTAACGAACATCACGTTATGGTCTGTCTGGCTAACGAACATCACATTATGGTCTGTCTGGCAAACGAACATCACATTATGGTCTGTTTGGCTAACGAACATCACGTTATGGTCTGTCTGGCTAACGAACATCACGTTATGGTCTGTCTGGCTAACGAACATCACGTTATGGTCTGTCTGGCTAACGAACATCACGTTATGGTCTGTCTGGCTACTTAACTTTGTTTAACAAGTGGTTATGTCCGTGTAATAGAAAGGCAGAGAGTGAAAGATTTAGATAAAATGTAAGAGATTTAGGGTTGAATATTGAGCAAAGTAATGAAACGTATAAAACGATTACTGACTGGTAACTATTGAGATTTATATGACAGATTTTACTTTTTTTACATTTAAACGAGAAAAATCAAAAGGTAGATTTGCATTCAATCACAATAGTTATATTAATGTTTTTAAAAGCAAACTTACCTATGAGAGGAAAATCGTTGGACAACTTTGAAATAGTATTTTCAAGTTGATCCAGCTAAATTAAAATAAATAAAAAAAAGTATCAAATATCTAAACAGGCTATTACGTATGAATGGTCCACGGTTACCATAGATTATGACAACTTATAAGAAAAGATAATGATTAAATGTATATTGTTATTTAATTATTAAAGTTATTTCTTAGTAAATACTATATAGTCTAATAACAGACATTTATTAAGTAATGTAGGAATTATTAATGTTGTAGATTATTTTTTTTTACAATCATTACAAACACACCTTATTAATTCTTTCTTTCCTAGTTTCCAAGTTCTGGTTAAAGATTTGAATCAGTTTGTCAATGGGCATCAATCTTTGTTGTAGGAGTTTGTACATTACACTGTGCTAAAGACGGACGATCACAGTTGAAGATTTATACATTTAACTATTTTTATTGTACATTAATATTCACATAAAATAACCATTAAAATGAATGGGATGATTATAGTGAAAGTTAATTAACTGCCTTTTAATTAAGTATTTGAAGTAAATTAACTGGAGCAGCGTAAGAATATAATTGTGTCCAAAATACGTGTCAATTTAAAAGATTACCTTTGAATGCAATTTTTCAAATCGGGTTGATGTTTTGTCCAAGATTTTATTATTTTCATCTTGTAAAATAACAATCAAATCAGAAAGTCTTTTAATTTCTTGTGTAATACTGCCTGTTTTGTCTGTGTGATCTTGTATCTCTTTATTTATTTTGTTTAATTTGTTTTCATATTCTTTTAAATCTAGAGAAAGTTTATCTAGTGTTTTGTTTGACTTGGTTTCGTTTTCTTTTAAACTTTCAAATTCTTTATTCAGTTCCTTTACTTTGTTATCTTGTTCACTCATTTGTTTTCTGAGGTTTTTAAAATTCTGTTTTTGTTTTTTAGTCAGTTGTTCAATGTTTACCCCCATGTCACTCTGTTCTGTTACAAAGTTGTCTCTCCATTGTTTTATTTCTGATATGTCATCTGTAGACTTGTCATTGGCGTCTTGTAAAGAAGATATGGCTGTCTCTATCTGCTCAAGTCGACTGACGTCTTGTAGAGAAGATATGGCTGTCTCTATCTGCTCAAGTCGACTCAATATTTCTGTTGCATAATAATATAAAGTTAATCGAAACATTAATTATATTGTATTCATTCTTAAATGCGTGTTCTTTGAAGGAATATTTTTAAAGATACAATTATATGTTCAAGGTTTTTTTTTCAAATTCGTTAAAAATAGATTCTACCGTCTGTTTGTTGCACTTGTTTAGTGACTTGATATGTTGATACAGCTCGGTCACATTTTTCTGTTGCTGTAGTTTGTGGTGTAGCCTGACAGAAAGATGGCGTTGCTGCATCGACATCTAAAGTATCTTTATTTTCACCTGTTATAAAAGAATATTATAATCTAAAACTTTAGTATTCCACTTTTCAGTAATGGTTTACTTCTCGTTTATTAATAACATGTTATTGTATTGAATACATATTTACTTGTGTAAGCGGATGATTGCAGCAGACATTTGATTTTATATAATAAGTTATAACGCATGCAAATAACTTAGAATGTAGTAGACTCTGATAGATTGTTAAACAATAAATTATGAGCTCTACTTGTTCCCACTGTAGATGATCAAGTACATAAATGTTGTAAACATTTTACTTATTTTATTGTTGTCTAATCATTTACTTATAATGTGTAACGCTGCACCCAACATAGCCGTGGTCGCTGAATCAAGTTCCTGGCAAAGCTCGCTGTAGGTGATAGACGGGTTGTCATTTTTATCTTCTATCCAAATCTTGCTTTTTTCTACTGCCTGATTAGATAGAGCAAATACATATTTTTAGCAATGGAGTACATGTTATTCCATTCTATATGTTGTTATAAGTAGGCCTACAGAATATTTTTTTTTAAATTCATCGCTTACGTTTTGCATAATCCCAATGACAGGTTCTATAAGTTGTATCAAATCTTCCAAATATTTCTTGAATTCTGTAACATGTCTGAGCTGAATTCTGGAGCGCATTTTACTAGTACACTGTCGAGATTTGTTTCATTTATTCTATACAGAAACATTAGTGCGAAATTTAGCCAAGGTATCATAGTGACAGAAAGTGAAATATATAAAAATGATAAATAATTAGAACACATATATCTAGGTAATTAGCACGTTATGTCATTTAAGATATAAATATATATATATATATATATATATATATATATATATATATATATATATATATATATATATATATATATATATATATATATATATATATATATTGTTTATACTGTTATTAAGTATGTAGTGTCTTATTTTTGGTAAGTAAGAGATCTGCATTTAGACTCAAAGCAGCATTGTTTTTTTTGTGTGAATTAAATAAACTACGACTCAAATATCCATATAACACAAATTATATTTGAAATAATACTTACAATTAAAAAACATATATATAAATTTTGTTAAAAGTTAATTTTCAAGCAGTAAATTAAACAATTTTCTGTTGATTTCTAGACAGAATTTTATACTGTTAACACAGATAATATCGGGATTTCCCGTTAGGCTGTTTCAATTTCACTAGCAGCAGTCCACAGAAATCTGGAAAAAACAAATACAAAATGTACAGCCATTAAACGGACAACACGTAAAAGAACTATTGGTAAGCTTAACGTTGGCTTGCACACAAAATACATAATTTACTGCAGTAACTGGTATCACTTACAATCTGTATAAATATTAAAACTATTTTTCAGCAAGAATTTTATCTAAATGTTTTTTTTAATTAAAAACATTGCCGCACATTGTTCGCCGTAAGAAATGATAAGCGAACATAGATTTTTAAAAAAGTGATTGCACTGTTATCAGCATTAACCAATGCACTGCTTGAGTTTTAATTATGAAATTACCTGAAATAATTTCAGGTAATTTCATAATTTTTTGTGCTGCTTTACACGATAGCACTTCTATTGTTCTCTAGCTTCCCCAATATTGTCAATATATTTTTACATCTTTACTATTGTACGTTTTTTAATAAATCAGCTTATAATTTAATAATTTTAGGCATAAAAATGTGTGCTGTGTTAGTCCAGAAGCATTATATAGATTATTTTAAACACTTGTCATAGCTATACACATTTTTTAATCAGATGACTCAGCACCACTCACCCGAGACACTTTTCAGATTTTTGCTCGAACAGTTTGATGCATTGATTAGTCGGTTACAGATTAACTTGAATGATTACACGTTACAGGTAAGATAAATGGATAAATGTGTAACATAATTGCAACGTAGTAAATAACATATACATATATATATGTAAGCGCTACATGTCATTTGTGCAGATATAATGGAAAGCTATGCAGTGAACTACTGTCCCAGTTAGGTCATACATACATTAAAATAATATTACAGCGACTGGTTTCCTTTACTACGTCAATCTTATTTCATTTTTACTAAAAATATAACACAGGTTTTTCCTGCATTCAGTTTTATTTCATGTACAACAGTTTGATGACCCATTTTAGCAAAAAATACTTTACTGTTTCACAAAACGACTTAAGTACATGTCGAAGGTTAGGGAAATTAAACAATATCAACCTTTAGACTATAACTTGGTAGACAACATAAGAATTCAAATTAGTATATGTTTTTAAATTTATTGTTTGGTCGTTTGGTTTTATGCGCTGTCAGTATGAGATTTTGTGTCTAACCTTAATGATTTAACTATAACTTAATTTGCCAAATTACGAGATCCATATAGTTTAATGTAAACAAAATTAAAAGTAAAGTGTACATTGATATGTTCAATACACTTATTCTTAATGTTTGAAACCTAGAATAACTTGGGGGTGGGCTGGGGTGGATAAAAAAGAGCGAGGTGAGTGCAAAAAACCGTCCTTCACGAGATGGTATCTTGTTACAGTTTAAATATGTGTTTAGGTCATCACTTTTGTAGTCATATGTATTTAAGTATCGGTATCCCATTTGGTAGTCTAAATATGTGTGTAGGTCATCACTTTTGTAGTCATATGTATTTAAGTATCGGTATCCCATTTGGTAGTCTAAATATGTGTGTAGGTCATCACTTTTGTAGTCATATGTATTTAAGTATCGGTATCCCATTTGGTAGTCTAAATATGTGTGTAGGTTATCACTTTTGCAATCATATGTATTTAAGTATCGGTATCCCATTTGGAGTCACATGTGTTTAGAATAACTTTAAGGTGCCAGTTTATAAGCTACATGCAGATGTTACTTTAAAATCAACATGTATTTAGCCTATTTGTTACTTACAGGCAGATGTTACTTTAAAATGAACATTTATTTAGCCTATTTGTTACTTACAGGCAGATGTTACTTTAAAATGAACATGTACTTAGCCTATTTGTTACTTACAGGCAGATGTTACTTTAAAATGAACATGTACTTAGCCTATTTGTTACTTACAGGCAGATGTTACTTTAAAATGAACATGTACTTAGCCTATTTGTTACTTACAGGCAGATGTTACTTTAAAATGAACAGTTATTTAGACTATCTATTACTTACATGTAGAGTACATCCCCACCACAAAGTCATTTAAGTCATTTTGTCACACAGGTACGTCACATTTACATATAATTTTTTTGTTTTAATACACAATAATCTAAATCGAACTCGTGTGAGTTATAAACGTGTTTCAGATTTGACTGAAAAGTATAGAGAAAGCTATAGTTTCTCTTTATATGATGAAACAAAAGACTAAAGATGACATATAAGAAAAAAAACAACGGAGAGACAACTTTGTACCCGAAAATAGCAACAGGACATCAAGAATTGAACAACTCAGCAGAAGCAGAACTTCTATGGGTCTTCTCCGTGATCTCCTCGGCCGGCCAACTTTTTTGCCGTGTCGATTGAAATCCATAGCTTTCTTTGCAATACTAGGGTCCTCCCTTCTCAGGATACATCTCATCCATCCCCATTTATGGACTTTAATGGCAAAACAAAAACATGTTGTATAAAAAATATTAAAACATTAATACGAATTTAAAGCAATTAACTGGTTTTACTAATGTATTTTTATTGGATACAAGCCGACTTGAGCTTACTTAAGGGATGCATTTACAGTTTTGACTTTTAGGCAAAAATTTGGATCACTTTAATTCACTTAGTACTTTTACTTTTAATGCTACACTTTATCTTTAATCATGATAAAACTTTATTAAAATTCACTAAACATATTAGAACTTACCGCTACTTAATAGTTAAACATTTATTCCGTTTAGTATTTCTGACTACCACTTCCGTAGAGTTTTTTGCTGCGTTTTTCATACTTTCATTTACAGTCGTTTAAAACAATACGGAGGTTTCGGAGGTTTTTTATTTAGTTGCGTTCAGAGTTTTAACGAGAGCGGTACAAAACTAATTGTTTTAAATAATGCTAGTGGGTTCAAAGAAAACATCAACACAACACATGAATAAGGGACGTAGCAAATACAATAATCTAAGGCGTCTGAAATAACTCGATACGTTCCTTTGAAAACATTTTTCTATTTATATTTATCAATTCAAGTCTTGCAGCTTTTAACGCAAAATGTGTTGGTCATATATTGTTAAACATATTATATAATTTAAAACGTACACCTACTGTTTTATTTGTAGTTAAACTTCATTTCTCTCATGTACTTCATTTCAAGAGACCATAGCTGACATGTACCTCACTTTACTCCAGAATGAATGACATATATTTCAATTCACTAGACCTTAGATGACATGTACATAACTTCAGCAGTCACTTAATGACATGTACTTTACTTCGCCTGACAATAGATGACATATAATATACAATAGCAGACATTTCATGACATGTACCTCACTTCACCAGGCAGTAGATGACATATACCTCACTTCACCAGGCAATATATGACATGTACCTCACTTCACCAGACAATAGATGACATGTAGCCAACCTCATTTCATAAGACTGAACATACCATATCGAAGGATTATTGTAGCAAAGTCTTGATATTATTTCATTTTGTGGTGTAAAATTATTGAAAGTATATGATTTCTGTTGTTAGAATATTTTTTTTCTGCACATGAAGGATTTATAATAAATAGGTTGGTATCGTTATATAAGTATTTTCGTTTATTTTTCTTCAGTCTTTTGTTTATGCGTGCCATATCCTACAACAAATAGCGTATGTTTGGAAAAAAAGCCCTGTTGAATACAAGCTTGTAAATATATACACGTTTGATGTTATTGGTTATGAAATTCAAGTTATTGTAACTTACATCACATAACACACAAGCCAAAATCTAAACATATCAGTACCATGTTTACGCATAAAAATGTAATATGCCTCAAAATGTTGGCACATTTACTAGCGAGCAGAACTGTTTTCAAGAACGTTTATAACTGAAATCCTTTAGCAGCGTGCAATTGATGTTTTCGAGTGCACGAATACGTGTGCTTGTACGTATGTGTTCATGTGTGTGTGTGTTTGTGTGTTTGTACATTCGTGCGATCATACGTATGAGTACTTGTATTCACGTGTGAGGAAATCAACAACATTACACACAAGTCCTAGTTTAGCTCACAAAGACGTTTGGGCAGACGTCATTCATGTTGACTTTATGATTACAAACCTGGAAATCTAATAAACAATTGCACACATATTAGAAAGTTTTGTAGACACATAGCCTTTAGTAAATACGTGGGTTGATGGGCCTCACATACAACTTTTGATCTCTTACGTGTGACCTGATGAAACCACTTCATTAATTACATTAATTTCTGCCTGTTTAATGAACATATAACGACTGATTAGGCTTAAACTTAAAATTAGCTCTCATGTGACTAATGCAGTACAAGGGGCTAGTGTGCATATCAGGGAGAGAAAAATATATAACAAGCTCAGTTAAATTCATAGTTGTAGGACATGTTCATCCAGTTAAAGTGAGGTAAATGTCATTCTCTGTCTTGTGGAGTTGGGTTATCTCATTAATGGTCAGGTAAAGATGTAAATGTTTCCTTAACCGTCACGAGAGGTAATGTGTGTTGTGACACTTCATGTAAACTGTCGTCGTTAGCTTTCGTGTAGAAAATTTCTTTAAAAACTTGAAATGTGTAAAAACATACTTGAGTGTAGCTGTGTTTAATCAAGCATAGCCACCACCTCATCTACTAAACCCTAACTCAACCCTAACCACTACTTATTACTAATCAAACCCAGAGCCCCCGTTACTCTAGGTCTGTATTTTAAACTAGTAAAACATTTTCAAGCCGCACTATTTCAATAACCTAATGTAAAGATGATATGCGATGTTATTTTCTACAAGCCATTTATTTCTTATGTTTATTAAGCTTGTGTAACACTTGCGATGAGGTTTATATAATTTAGATTTGGCAATGGACTGCGAAGAACGTAACTCAGTTATTTGTCTCTGCATATCAAGGTAATATGTCTAGCCTGCATAATGTGTATGTATGCATATATATATATATATATATATATATATATATATATATATATATATATATATATATATATATATATATATATATATATATATATATATATAAAATATATTCATACATGAGAACATCGTTATTTGAATATTTATGCCTATCTTTTATTTATATTAATGAATGGCTTATTTTTATATGTGTATGTGTAGTGAGGTGTGTATCGGTGTGTGTGTGTGTGTGTTTGGGTAGGTATTCATTTACAGATACAATGCTACAGACTAAAATCACAATCAAGAAAAGCGGTAACGTATTAGATCTAATAATTTTTTTTACATTTAATCACATTCCAATATATTTCCAAATGCATAAAATGAATTATTATATTAAATTATCAGACACATATTGTTGTCTTGTGAACTTATTTAAACATTCGTCTATAAAATTGTTCATTAGATTTGTCCCAAAAATGAAGGTTTCAATTTCATATTTAATACAAAATAATATGTTTTATTTTTAACATACGAAACGCATACAAGTTAAATGGTTCACGCAAAGCTCTCTTACAGAAGCGTTAAAAGATATGTAAAATTATAGCTATCGTATATGTATATTGCAGTCAAGTAGAACATATTAATTGGCGATCGCATAAAATCAGTTTGAAATGTGTATTGACGGCTAAACAAATAACATGAAATCATTAGTTTTTTGTAGACATGTAGTCCACACACATAGTAGGTTGTTAGCATGTGTTTAACATGGTGGTTACATGTTTTATTGTTTTGAGAATTTACCATCCACCACGTTTTGTGTTGTACTTCTATAAACTAACGATAGTAAAACTACTGTACCAGGATAAAGCTGCGTCTTTATGTGCTTCCACCACTTCAAAGTAAAGTCCTTCCCCTTTCTTCATGTCAACAACCACTGACCCAGCAGCGCTAGTGTCGGCACTTGTCACTTCTATATACGTACACCACCTGTCTCCAGCCCACACACCAACTTGAATATTTTTATCTTCCCATTCATGTAGAGTGACACAGACAAGATATAAACCATCATGTGGTGATACAAATTTTCCTGTTGTTTGATTAAAATGTTGACCGTTATATTCACGTACTTTATAAAATGTTGAAATAATTGATCTAACACTGACAGGTGTGGGACCATCAAGCTGTACATGACAAGCATATCTGTTACATACACGTGACTCTGTTGATTAGAAAACTTATGTATGATATACAATAATATACATGTTTAATTCCACATACTATTATACATGCTATGAATATGTAACATGTGCAAGTGTATGATTACATCATATAAGTAATCATAAAAACAGAAGGCAAGCTATCTCTCTACAAATAGATAATTGTGGATTATTTTTACACAATTCTCTATAACAGCACTGATTGAAACGATTAGTTTAGTAACTCCCCATTTTCCTGTTGTTAGTTTATCGTTTCTTGCGTATTGAAATTATTTGTTTAGTAACGTCCACAAGAAATATAATTAGCGTTACTTTCTAATTATATATGCGTACGATAAGTATTAAGAGCCGTTATACATCAGAAGATTGTTAAAAATAAATATGGCAATTCTATTAACACAAAACAAAGACCAGAACCAATAGAATGATAATCTTGACGTGAAGACCATCAGAATAAAATATGTTCAAGTTATATTAAAGATTTAATTATTGCTTCTAGAACACACTTTTTAGTAGCATAAACCTAAAGGGCTAAAGTTTTTGTTTACATTATAAAATTACTACAACTATATACAATTCGTACTGCGACTGATGTACCTCGTTTTGTAATGCATCAGTAAGAAACAAATGTATGGTAAAAACCCACGTGTCTAGTGGCTGGTACTAGAGGAGAGTGAAATGTTCCAATCTTTTTAGCGAAATTTCCATTCTGGAGAATTGCGTTTATTAACCCGTCATTTCTGGATGTATGAATGGATGGATGGATGTGTGTCCGCAGCTTTAAGTCGTATCTCCTTCTCAACGAAGCAATATCGAGGACTAGTTCTAAAAGCAAATTTGTTCAGCAAGTTCCGAGGATGATTGTGGGCTAAAAAAAAATCCCAGAATTCCTTCCTGGATTTCCCAGAAAAGCCAAAAAACCTCGAAAAAAAGCAGTTTTTGGCCCATATCTCGGCAACCAGACCACTTAGCGACTTGAAACATGTATCAATCAATTTCTGCTATAATTTAGAACAATATTGTTGAAGAAAGTTTTCAAAAATATCCTTTCGTTCGGACACAATATTTTTTTTGAATTAATTAAAATTTGGACCGAATTAGTAGGCATGTTTATCCAACCACACCACACGCACGTTCAATAGCTGCGCCATCACGTTCAATGGCTGCGCCATCACGTTCGGTAGCTAGGCGCGCACAATGGTTTTTAGTCATGTAACTCTATTGTAAATATAACATGTAAAATACTGAAAACAAATTAATAAAAAACGTTTTAATAACTAACCAATGGTTCTACTAACCCTGCTCTTGATTTACGCTAAGACAGAGCTATTTTTAGATAGCATAAGGAAATTGCGCTTAAATGTCACTCGACTTTTAATTAACTTTTTTCATATTATGCTGTGTTTGGCTAACGAGCATCGCTCAAACTGATACATGGTATTATGTTTGATATTAAAGAGACTAGTCAACTAACATAGGGGAATATGGAGCTTGTATTAAGTTTGTATCTTATCAGTTTGTATCGATATTCTTCATTAAAGTTTTACATTTACATCCAGATAGAGAAAATATAGCATGACTATGTACATATCATGATTAAAGATTATTATTTTCGAATTGAAACTTACCGATTATATTAAAATCCATTGACAATTTTGAAATAGCATTTTCCATAGTTTCCAGCTGGATTAAAATACAGTGTAAATTAAATTAATTAAATAGTCATATAACAGAATAAATGACATAATAGGTCCATTCACTTTACAATAGCAACGTGTAATTAGACAAACTGGCTTTAAAAAAAAAAACAACTAAAAATAATTATCAATTAATTCACAAAAAGCAGCTGTCATTAAATGATCTAAAAATAAATAGACAATTAATGCTCAATGCTTCAAATCTACCAATGATCTGCTTACAAACATACCGTCTTTTTTCTTTCCTCTCTAGTTTCCAAGTTCTGGTTACATATTTGAATCAATCTATCAATTGGCATCAATCTTTGTTGCAGGAGTTGGCATATCAGACTGAGCTAAATGACCGATAATTTAATAGATTATTTAGAGTTTGACTAGATCTTTTAAATAATAAATTGCAGACATAAAAACATGTCTTAAAGTTTGTCTTAGAATCAATGGTCTTCGTTTTGGAAAAAAAAAGGTTACAACTTGATTTTGTAAGTTTACTTTAATTATTTAGCACTCATAATATTGATTACCTTTGATTGCAACCTCTTAAATCCGGCTGACAAATTGACCATGGTTTTATTATCTTCTTGTAAAGAAACAATCTGATCAGAAAGTCTTATAATTTCTTGAGTTATACTGTCTGTTATGTCTGTGTGAACTTGAATTTCTTTATTTACTTTGTCTACGTTGTTTTTATATTCTTTCATATCTAGAGACAGTTTCTCTAGTGTTTTGTTTGACTTGGTTTCTTTTTCTTTTAAACTTTCAATATCTTTGTTCAGCTCCTTTACTTTGTTATCTTGTTCACTCATTTGTTTTCTAAGGTTTTTAAAATTCTGCTTTTGTTTTTTAGTCAGTTGTTCGATGTTTACCCCCATGTCATGATGTTCTGTTACAAAGTTGTCTCTCCATTGTTTTATTTCTGATATGTCATCTGTAGACTTGTGTTGTGTGTCCTGTAGTGAAGATAGTGTTGTTTCAATATAGGCGAGTCTACGCTCTAGGTCAGGATATTCTTCAGCTGAGAATAGTCACAAATATAAGTTTGAAATTTTACAAGTCTCGAACCTTGAAAAATAGAGTGTTAAAAATGAAATTACATCAAGGTATATGATGATGCTATTTAACATGTTATGCCAAAGAATACTATAATATACCAGCTGTGTGTTGGCCTTGTGTGATGAGTTCTCTTGGTGATTCTACGGATAGAAATGTTGCTGTTGTCTCTGTGTCAGGCTGTGGTAAAGATGGCGTGGGTTTGTTGACATTCAAGTTTTCCTCGTCTAGTGGATTGGGATTAAAGTTTTTTTTTTAAAATCGCCGTTAAAGTTAACAATGATTTTGGTGCATACAATATATATATATATTTAAAACCGTAATGCATATGATGAAAACAAAAACTTGAATAAGATCCACATTTATATAAACACAAAGTCTTCCAACATGTCTAGAGTATACAAATCGGACGTGCGGTTTTTCTTTTACACGGCTGTTTAGGAATTTAAAAGTAGATACCAAATTATCTGAAAAACGTATAACTTTCAATACATCCTTAAGGCTTTTTAAACGTGTCTTAGGGCGAGTAAATTTGCACAAAGCGATTGTACATTCTTCAATTTTGTTCAACGTTTTAAGAGTCACTAGTGAAATATCGAATTTATATAAATAAATGCGGTTTGTTAGTTGGTTGACAGAATAAAATTATATCCATTTCACATAGTGTTTGCAATGTCTTTAAACTAAACTTTTAAAAAATCCATTGCATTTTTCTCAATAGAAGCGCTTACTACTGAACACACAGTCTACATGACTATAGGCTTTGAGATTTTAAATTATAAAAACTATTAGAGTACTAACTTAAAATATGTGACGTCACTTCCAACAAGGCCGTGGCTACTGTGTCCAGTTCTTGTGATAGCTCGATGTAGCTGACAGATGATTGGTCAGTTTTTTCTTCTAGCCACGCCTTACTTTTTGTTACAACCTGTGATGAAAGACAATATTTATGTTTCTACCGTTCAGATTTTAAGTTTTTTTTGTGTTATAAGTACACGACATTAAACTTTTGACACAAAATCTTGCTAAATGTATGAACGTTGCTTGAACAAGTAAATGTAAAGATTATTGTGAGTTGGTAGAAACTTACATTTTTCATATTTCCTATAACAGGTTCCAGTAATTGTATCTGTTGTTCCAAATATTTCGTGTGCTCTGTAACAAGCTTGACCTGAATTGTTGAAGGCATCTAAATAATAATATAAATGTCACTTTAAAAAAAATGTTTTAATATATAATAAATTAAAGTGCAAATAAACCAGACCGTTTTATATCCACCGATCTCCAGCACCTTACAGTAACACACACGATGGAGATTATTTATGTAACATTGGGATGTGATGTTGTAACATATTCTGTTGTTTAGCTGAAACATATTCTGTTGTTCGACTGTAATATATTATGTTGTTTGACTGTAACATATTCAGCTGTTTGACTGGGTAATGGGTAGATTGTAAGCTAGTGATCTCTCATTTCTGTTATTAGTCGAGAGTGTATCCGAACGTGAGTGTAACTTGTGTTTTGTTTGTCTCTTGTTTGAAAGATCTAGCATTTAAACATTATGTGAGCTATCATTTGTGTTTTGATTTCGGGTTCAAATGACCTGTTAGTACTGTGGTTGACTTTATATGAACTTTGATTTACATTTTAAAAAAAGAACACATTTAAATATCGTGCGTTCATTTATTTATAAATCAACAATAACTGATAAAACATTTATTTTAAGTTCGAAATAAAAACGTCCTGCTGTGTTAGCGACACCCCAAGTTTGAGTGTTTGTGTTATATGTTAGTGATACTACATGTGTGTAGTTGTGTGTACGACATGCTGTGTGCGGTTGGCCTAGTGACCTATTTAAAATAACATACCTATATTGACTTTTAAAGTAAAAGATATTAGGTAATACTGTTTCTTACACACAACACATTAAATGATACTTACAGCTTCAATTCTATATCAATATCAAATTATTGCCAACAAAAAAGTCTAAATAACAAATCTACAAGTGTGAAACTTTGTCGTCTTGACAACTTTGTTACCTAAACAGCAGTTAATTTCGGGATTTCCCGTTAAGCTGTTTCAGTTTCACATACAAGCTAGAGTCTAGCCGCTAGACGAACCAAACCGAAAACATTTACAGCCTTCAATATGACAACTAAAAGTACTGAGGTCAAATTAACGTAGGTAAACAATACATAAGTTGTATCATAATCAAATAATGGTAAAATGTATATATTTCGAGTTTAGTTGATAAATAAATCGAGATATTATACCATTACTTTTACTTGCGGTAGTAGAGGACTATGTCGTTCATTATAACCATATTAACAATGATAGATATGTTGTAGAACTTGTGTTTCTGATAGTGTAAATATGAGATTAATATTTGGGTTGTTCGTAAAGTAGGTTTACAGATGATGATGTGGTTATGGATTAAAAAGTTAGAGTTAAGGTTGAGGAATGATATGCATGTATGTAAAAAATATTTAGGGGACTATAGCCTTAAAAGGGAAATGAAAATGTGTTTTATGTCTAGTGGGGATCATGAGTTTCATATTGGCCATTTTATACAGACGATAAACTGTGTTTGAAATGTAGCTATTGTAATATGAAAATGTATGAATAGTGTTTGAGTGAACTTAATTTTAAACCCGTAATACTGACTAATTTTTAAAAGTAGGTAATCTTTAAACTGTTTGTGCCCACTTATCTCGTATTTAATTTGTTTAGATACGTCCTATAATTCAGGTTAAGCTTGTTACAGAGCACGTAAAATATTTGGAGAAACAAATACGAGTTATGAAACCTGCATTTGAAATTATGAAATTGGAAAGTAGGCCTGGTCATCAGTGATTTGTTAGTTTGTTTATTGTTTTTTAACAAATTCTTTATTATACATGCATATAGTAAGTGAGGTAGATTAGGAATACACAACGGACACAGAAGCCATCAGCATGTAGCTGTCTTTATTCGTAAACGGAAGAGAGAGAACGGAAGTGACGAGAGACAATTATTTATATACATGTAAGGGACATCACTCAAGATAACAGTATAAATATAATACTAATACAAGAAGAGTGAGTTCCCTTGACCTCACAAGTCTCACTATATTACAGTAAGTTACTCAGTTTTTTCACTTATGCACTTTTAACATTACCAGGCCGTAGAAAAAAATAAGACGTGGACCACGGCCATGTTGAATGTCTGTTCCAAAATAATGTGTAAACATTTTAATTCATTTTAGAGCTCACGAGTCACGAGTTCGGGTCTCGGTACACTTGTACACACGGCTTCTCTTTTTAAGGGATCATCATGGTCGTATTTTAGAGAGTCGGACTTTAACCAGGTAAATTATCGAGTTCGGATCTTAGGCCCCAGTGTTTGTGACGTTCATAAATCCATAAATCTCTGACGGGTACCTATTACAGATTAGGGAAACAAAGGTGGCTGAGCATAAAACTTACCAAACTATCCCTTGTATTCCGACGTTTTTAATCGCTACTTCATTTACGTGTCCTTTTTTAAAACTGGAAAAGATGATGACGACGACGATGATGATAATAATGATGATCATGATGATGATCATGATTTAGTCTTTGTCATAAAATAAAATAAGAGTTTACATTTCAGCCGTAAATACAAAAGATTTAAAAGATTAAGGTTATTTCCTGTGTATTTCTTGAGTATTTTTATAATAAATTATTATATTTTCCATGAAAAGTTATTGAAGGTAATGTAATTAACTTACATACGCAATCAAACATGTTTAGCTTATACCTACGTGTCAAGGTTAGGTTTAGGGTTGTCGACAGAAATCGACACAATTGGAACATGATTTATAACAATATTATTCAATGAAAAACTGTGTTTATAAAAATCTTCATTCTTTATTCATATTAAACAGATGAAAAAAAAGAGCCGATAGATGTCGAGGAAGAAACGCCATCTTTATCTCAATCTATACAACAAACTTCAGCAACAGAAAAAGTTGACCGTTGTGAATTTAATGTAACTCAACCTTCAACTGGTATAAAAACAAGTAAGTTTAACTGAAGGAATATTTTAAATCCAAAAAAAACAGTTACTTATATTGAAACATTTTAAGGCAAATGATACGATTTTATAATCTAGTTTTAACATTTGTTTCATAAATTATTACTTTCAAATACATTACAGAGATAGTTAGTAGACTTAAGCTTATAGAGACAACTGTAAGTTCTCTGCAAGACACGGCACATAAAGCTAAAGTTGCCATAACAGAAATAAAAGAATGGAGGGATATCTTTGTCACAGAAACATGCAATATGAATTCAAAAATTGAACAACTAAGTAGGAAACAAAAGCTTAAATTTAGAAACCTTAGAAAACAAATAAGTGAACAAGAAAACAAAGTAAATGATCTGAATAAAGAAATTGAACGTTTAGAAAAAACAGAAACCAAGTCCAACAAAACACTAGAGAAACTGTCTCTAGATTTGAAAGAATATGAAAACAACCTACACAAAATAAATACAGAGATGCAAGTTTATAGAGATGAATTTAGAAGATTATCTGATTCGATTTCCGACTTACAAGACGTCGGAAAACAAAATGCTGTTGAAAGAGCTACCCAATTTGAAGATTTATATGCTAAGGTAGTTTTGAGCTTTTAATAACATATTTCATAACAGCTAATTCAACTGAACACAACAATATTTTATTTATATGTTACATATTGGATTGTACTGTCTCTTGAAACAATTATACTCCTACCCTACCCCCCCCCCCACCACACACACACGTTTTTAAACTGAATATGTTTTATAATATGTTAAAATTACATTTGTAGCATCTCTGTAGTTAAAGTTTTAAACTTGATTTTGAAATTGTTTATTCTGGGATCCATCATGATGGTGGGAGGGGAAGTTCAATTTTCCCATCACACCCATAATGAACTTAAGGAAGCATCATTGTGTTTATCGATGAATTGTTGCCACAAAATTTTAAATAGTGGTGGGGTGTCCTTGGGGAATATAACTCCCTGACAAACATGATTACGTGACTGTAATTCTAAGTGTTAAATGTTATTTTAAAATCCCTCCTTCTAGCACAGTGTTATATACAAACTCCTACAACAAAGGTTGATGCCCATTGACAAACTGGTTCAAATCTTTAACCAAAACCTGCAGACCAGGGAGACAAATATCAAAAAGGTAAAAATAAAAACATAGGTATTGTTTTTTTTTAGACGAGCACGAAACTTATATAGTACTTAATTCTTTTTAATTATTTCTTTTTCATTTCCCGTCTTAAAACTCAAAATATAAAATGATTTTTAAACACGGAGGTTCAAATAGATTAAATAAAAAATTAAACTTTAATTAAAATGTATGCTATTGTATAATGGGAATGTAATTTCAGCTAGGATCTGTAGAAGTTCATGTTAAGAAATTGTTGAAATGTGTCCACGCACTTCGAAAGTTGTTGTTAATTTTTTTTTAACAAGTACATTTTGATGAGATTTTTGTAATGATTTTCTGTAATTTGTGGAGTTTAACTCTACTTTAAATGTTTTATAAACCGTTAGCTACACAAAGTTGACGTATTTATTATTTTTTGTAATGTTAAATATAAGCATGTATATATATATATATATATATATATATATATATATATATATATATATATATATATATATATATATATATATATATATATATATATATATATTATATATATATATATATATATATTTATATATATATATATATATATATATATATATATATATATATATATATAAATTTATTATATATATATATATATATAAATATATATATATATATATATAGAGAGAGAGAGATTTGTAACTGTATCAGTAGTGGATTTAATTGCTACTATTTTACTGCAGAACAAGAAGTTAAAAGCCATTTTGATTGCATTTTAACTTTACAAGAAGATAGAAACAAAAATGAGGCAAATACTTCAAACACGATTGAAACTTTAAATTTGAAGGTAAAAAAAATTCTTTTCACGGTCTAAAAATAAATACATTGTTTTATAACGCAGAACCTTTACGTAGCTAATATATAACACAGTAAGATTTATATAGGAATATTAAAGTAAATATGTGCCAATTATTGAAAATGATTTAACGAAAATGTAATTTGAAATTTCTATAAAGATTGAAACCAGCGCGAAAGAAGTTTTACGGCTGTCAACAGATTTAAAAACATTAGGTAAGATTTTGGTGCATTATATTTTGCTTCAAACTTTAATTTTCAGTTTAAAACTTCATGTTTCATTGACTCATTAGTTGTTTCTTTAAAAAAAAAAGAGGCGTTGTCTAGTGGTACAATACACACTGTTAACCCGAAAGTTTGGACCCGGTCACGAGACATGTGTCCAAGTGATGCGATGCCTCAGGGAAAAATTAAATAGTCAGAGAAAAACACTCACTATTCATGCTTCAGCCGTAATACAATGAATATGTGTGAGTTAATTACTGAACATAACATTCCGTTTTCTAAAATCAATCGTTTATTTTATTTAGGGTGGGGCACACCGAATAGACATGGCCAATCATTAAAAACACAATGTGAGACACTTGCCTCCAACAGACTACATTTGTGTTTTCTTCCAATGCACATCATCTTTTGTAGTGTCATGTAAAAAACAGAACAGCGAAACTCACATATGTCCATATTATCAGAGAAAGTGTATAGCAAATCGAGTAAACAATACAAGTCATCATAATTGCTACTTTTTAAAATATCTTCACAAATAATATGTAGTGATAGTAAACATTGTTGTATCGTTTTATTATTGTAATTGTTACGTAGGCCTACTAGCTTCTAAACATCATTTGAAGCCTCCGATATAAAAATAAAAAAGTTAACACAACCACCCACCACAAAACACATACAACCGCCAGATAATAACGTATTCTGATAACCGTCTCTTTAAATATGTAAACAATGATTTTTATCAGCAGAGCCTCGTGTGTGTTCACCTTACTTCTGTCAAATTTATTTGAATACCGGCGAAGTGTTCGCTGCAGGGTCAATTATTTCTACATTATAGATTGTCATGTAACGTAACGGCAGCCATTTTAATCAGACAACAGGAAAACTTGTAGCACCAGATGATCGAAGCTATCTTGTTATTGTAACGTTACAGGAGAGAGATGGTAACATGTTTAGTGTAAGGTTATGTGTTGAATGCAATTCTAAAAAAAGTGTATTAGTAACTTCAGCTGTCTGTTGTTCAACTATTGTTGACATGAAAAATGGAGAAAAACTTTACTTTGAATTAATTTTGGCAGATGTAGGCCTACGAGCTAAGCTACAAACTAGCAGTGGGTTCACTATAGTTAGTTTATAGATGCGTATCGTATGTACACATTTTAAAACATAACCGGTAAGTCAGCTAAAGTGCTTTAAGTGATCTTCTGCCTATATAGTTGTCCGACTTCTGAAAGCAAAGATAAGAAAACATATTGTTTATATCGATTAATGCCTGTGCCTAAAACTGCTAATAAATTTTAGAGGTAAATATATAAGAAGTAAAACAAAAAATTCGGGCATGTTAGGTGGTATACTTGTAATAACTAAGCCTAAAGAGTTGTATACTTAAAAGGCATAATGAAATCTATTAATAACATAGTCTGTTCAAGGTCCGCGGTTTGATGCAGCGTTCAAAGACTAGTAAAAGACACATTAAAAAGGTTATGTCAAACACTAGCACCAAGTACACAGTATCGAATATACCAAATTTTATTGCCAGTCTTTATGATCTCCTATCTCGTTGTGGGTCTGTCAGATATTTGGTCACATTTACGGTAAAACATCTGATCTTGGTGGGCCGTGTGGGGTCAGTCCATCTGTACTTTGGGTTTAGGCCATATCAAATAAAGAAATGAGTGGGCGAATGTTTTTTTATGCTAATAATCAGAAAGATACTTTATGAGTTGATATTTGTATAATAAAAATGATTTTAATGTCTAACTAATAAAAACAAATTATCATCATGGCATTTTGAAAGGGTTATATTCATACACTAAAGCAAATTTCATGGAGTTTTAAACGTATTCCTCGAGTCGATGCAACAGTACCCTATGAAAGTGCCAAAGGAAGAGATCACGAATTTTACACTCTGGTTATGTTTCTTAAATACCTTTTTCTTGAAATGATGTAGAAATAAACCAATGTTTAATATTATCATGTAGATTTAATAAACTAACCTGTTTTATTCTGCTCCTCAACACTAATCTGTTACAGACGATATAAGCAGTCTACTGGCACAGCACTCAACACTAAAATCTCTCATATATCATAATATATAATTGACGTCAAATATTCATTACATATATTATGTTTATCAACAGTAAATGATTTTGTAAGTCTAATATGTGTCAAATGAAAACAACGATGTTCTAAGGTTAGAATTTATTCAACTAAATTTATATAAAGATAATATGTCATGTGCTTCTAATTTCGCGATCGATGTTTCTTGTAGCAATTATGTGTTACACTTTTTGTTACACATACACATGTTTATATAAATAATTATATAAAAAATTATTTAGTTTAATAGATGTAACGATTTTCGTTTGTGTTGATGTTTGTTAATTTAAAGATACAGTGTTACTAAATAAAGGAAAACATGTTTTTAATACAGATAAGCTGTAATTTATTTCTTAAATTTCATTTGGTTTGTCTTAAGGCTTATGCTGACAGTTACATATTTAACGTTTTATTTTTTATACAAACCAAACGTATTCAAATACGTTTGTGCTCCTATACAGTGAAGTCAATGGTACATACTTATATTCTATAACGTTGGTCAAGTAGAAAACATAATAAGTGATCATATTAAATCAATAGAAACAAAATGATAACTAAACAAATATCATGTAAACCATTCAAGTGTTTGTAGACATGCAGTCCACACACTTAGTAAGTTGTTCGCGTGTGTTTAACATGGTGGTTACATAATTTTAAAAATTTACCATCAACCATATTTTGTGTTGTACTTCTATAAACTAACGATAATAAATCTGCTGTGCCAGGATAAAGCTGCGCCTTGATCTGCGTGATTCACATAAAAGTAAAGTCCTTCCCCTTTCTTCATGTCAACAACCACTGACCCAGCAACGCTAGTGTCGGCACATTTCACTTCTATAGGCGTAAACCACTCGTCTCCAGCCTTCACACCAACTCCAATCCGTTTATCTTCCCATTCATGTACAGTGACACAGACAAGATATAAACCATCATGTGGTGATACAAATGTTCCTGTTGTTCGATTAAAATGTTGACCGTTATATTCACGTACTTCTTTAAATGTTGAAATAATTGATCCAGTACTGACAGGTGTGTTATCAGCAAGCCTTACATGACAAGCATATCTGTTACATACACGTGACTCTGTTGATTGGAAAACATATGTATGATATACAATAATATACATGTTTAATTCCACATACTATTATACATGCTATGAATATGTAACATGTGCAAGTGTGTGATTACATCATATAATTAAAAATAAAAACAGAAGACAAGCTATCTCTCTACAAATATAGACTTGTGGATTATTTTTACACAATTCTCCATAACAGCACTGATTGAAACGATTAGTTTAGTAACTCCCCATTTTTTTTTTGTTAGTTTATCGTTTCCTGCGTAATGAAATTATTAGTTTAGTACCATCCACAAGAAATATGATAAGCGTTACTTTCTAATTATATATGCGTACGATAAGTATTAAAAGCCGTAATGCATTAGAAGATTGTAAAAATAAATATGGCAAGTCTATTAACACAAAAAAGACCAGAAACAATAAAATAATAATCTTGACGTGAAGACAATTAGAACAAAATATGTTCATGTTATATTGAAGATTTCATTATTGCAGCTAGAACACACTGTTTTAGTAGCATAAACCTAAAGGGCTAAAGTTTTTGTTTACATCATAAAATATCTTCAGCTACATACAATTCTTACTGCGACAGATCTACCTGGTTTTATAATGCATCAGGTGAAAACAAATGTATGGCGAAATACACGGGTCTAGTGGCTGATACCATGGGTGAGTGAAATGCTGGAGTCGTTTTTTTTTATATTATGCTGTGTTTGGCTAACGAAAATCGCTCAAACTTATACAAGGTATTATGTTTGATATCAAAGAGGCTAGTAAACTAAAATAGGAGAGTATGGAGTTTGCATCGATATTCTACAATAAAGTTTTATATTTAAATCTAGATAGAGATAATATAGATTGACCAATTAACTTATATCATGATGTAAGATTATTATTTTCCAAAAGAAACTTACCGATTACATTAAAATCCATCGTCAACTTTGATATAACATTTTCCATAGTTTCCAGCTAAATAAAAATAACTTGTAAATTAAAAGAATAAAATTATCACATAGCTGCGTAAATCATACAATTGGTCCACTCACTTTACAATAGCAAAGTGTAATTACATAAACTAATTTTTTAAGCACTAACTTGTTTTTTTTTAAACTAACATTAGATATCACTTAATTATCAATTTTCATTCAATGGTCTAAAAATAACTAGATAATTAATGCGCAATGCTACAGACTATACAGTAATTATATGTTTACAAACATACCTTCTTTGATCTTTCTTCTCTAGTTTCTAAGTTCTGATTAAATATTTGAAACAATCTGTCAATGGGCATCAATTTTTGCTGTAGGAGTTGGTACATCAGGTTGTGCTAAATGGCAGATAATTTTAATGGATTACTACAAGTTTGACTATTTGTTTTGGAGATTAAATTGCAGCAATAAAAACTGCTTTAAGTATAGCTTTAGAATCAATGGTCTTACTGTTGAAAAAATTAATAAACTGACTTAATTTAATGTACAACTTGTTTATAAAATGAGTAGTATATACATTTGTCAGCAAATGTATACCCAATTAATTAGCAATCTTAATGTTTACCTTGAATTGTAACTTCTCAAATTGCGTTGAAGTTTTGACCACGATTTTATTACTTTCATCTTGTATAGAAACAATCAAATCAGAGAGGCTTTTAATTTCTTGTGTCATACTGTCTGTTTTATCTGTATAAGCTTGCATCTCTTTATTTATTTTGTGCGTGTTGTTTTCATATTCTTTCATATCTAGGGACAGTTTCTCTAGTGTTTTGTTTGACTTGGTTTCTTTTTCTTTTAAACTTTCAATTTCTTTGTTCAGTTCCATTACTTTGTTATCTTGTTCATTTATTTGTTTCCTGATGTTTTTAAAATTCTGCTTTTGTTTTTTAGTCGATTGTTCAATGTTTACCCAATTGTCACTCTGCTCTGTTACAAAGTTGTCTCTCCATTTTTTAATTTCTGATATGTCATCTGTAGACTTGTGTTGTGTGTCCTGTAGTGAAGATAGTGTTGTTTCAATATAGGCGAGTCTACGCTCTAGGTCAGGATGTTCTTCAACTGAGGATAGTCACAAATATAAGTTTGTAATTTTAAATGTTCCAAATCTTGAAAAATAGACTGTTAAAAATGAAATTAAACAAATGTATCAATCGTACATTGGTTTACAGTATATGATTCTGTTATTTGACGTGTTATTCAAAGAATAATATGATATACCAGCTGTGTGTTGGACTTGTGTCTTGAGTTGTCTTGGTGATTCTACTGTTAGATATGTAGCTGTTGTCTGTGTGTCAGGCTGTGGTAAAGATGGCGTTGGTTTGTTGACGTCCATGTTGTCCTCGTCTGTTGGAATCGGTTTGAGTATTTTATTGTAATTACAGTTGAAGTGAACAAATATTTCATAGTACATGCAATACGTTCTACTAGTTTAGCTCTAACGCAAAATACGTAATACTCTGATGAAAAAAAAACAACTATGAATGTGATCTAAATTTAAACAAACACCATTAGTTCCAAAATGTCCGAAACATATAGATATATATCGTGTCCATTTATTTTAAATTTAACTTTTACATGACTGTTTATCGAATATATAATCATTAGTATTTAAAAAAACGTTTAACGTTCTATTAACCCTTAAGGCTCTTCAGCCTTGTTTTAGGGCGAATAATGTTACACGAAACGATTGTAAATTCTTCATTTTTTTCAATGTAAGGATTTACAAGATTGACTAATGTGATGCCGATTTTATAAAAATATAAACATAGAAAGTGTTATGATATTAGGCCGACAGTGAAATTATATCCCTTTGTAACAACATCAATTTCATTGTTGTTATTGTGGGTACGTTTAATAAACTCACACGAGCAATAGTAGAAACTTCAACTATAACTTTATTTACACTTTATACAGAAAATTAATAGATCCATAGTAAATCTATAGTCACAACTGGTATAAGTACAATCACAGTCACGAATCAAAGTGACGTAGTGACATCCTACATTCACAGCCACAGTCTTCAAGCGCAAGCACAAGTCCAAGTCCTTTCGTTCACCTTGCGCTCCCCTTTTATTCACAACTTTCTCTCCCCTTACGTCAATGAGCGTTCTCACCCAAAAACATGGAAAAACACATGACGATCGCTCAGACAGTCCTTCAGCTAGCCAGGTACTCTACATTCATGCAACTTCATGTAAACACAATAATATAAACATACCTAATTATACAGTCTGTGACACGTCCCCCCTTCAAATAAAATTTTGTGTAACAAAATTTATAAATACAATATTGGTAGGGCAGGACCATGTGCCAGACAACAAAAATTTTTATACATCTCAAAAAACATGGAAAAATACATTCTTTGTAGACTAATGCACAAGCATTATATGTAATATATTCAAATATGAGAAAGAAAAACATTTCTATTACCCAGTAATTGTAGTATAAACAAGACAAATGAGTTTAATAAATTACCAAACTAGTCTGGTACATGACTTAATTACCAAAACATAATACATAGTTGAAATTATCAAAGACTTAATTCAACTCATAATTAAAATAACTATATCCTATGTGGTAAAAAAAAACTTATCATCAAGGCATGTTATTACCACGCATGAGTAATATACTTTGTTGTCTACCCTAGTTGACCCATTTCAGACACATCTAGGTCACAACACAATCACATTCCTGCCTTCCACAGGTAATGACTAATACACAATTCATCATTGAGACTTACGTCTTATTGTTATGCGGAATAAATAGTCTCTAACTTTTACTTTATACATTATTCTCTGTTAATTGATAGTATAGAATAGGTTTAACATAATACAGTTTATATTCTTTTGAAATAGTACACAATTTATATTTACTGATACAAAAAGTTTGATATCCGTAGTTTACAGTTACAGACTGTACAATATTAAGAAACTGTCAATTGATAATTTAATCTTATCACCCTTGTTTAACTCTATAGCATGAGTAATCGTTCTTGTGTAGTTGACGATGGCCTGTTTGCCATCTCTCCCTCAAATTGTACGTGTAGCTTTTAGCTGTGCTACCATAATGATTTCTTAGATTTCGTGTAACTTGTGTTACTTTATTTGTTTTAATATTCTCCTCTGGTTTCTGAACAACGTCAGTTGTTTTCTTACTTTGTGTAAGTTCGTTTGGTTCATCATGCAACTCAATATAAATATTATGGCATTGCTTTGGCCTCTCATAATACGTCTTGCTTCGGTATCTTTCATTAGAACTTGATACATTCTTTCTTAAATTACTGTATTTCTCACAAGACTTTCTTTGTACATAATTTTTTCTTCTCTGATTTGCCAACCTATGCCAACATTGATCTTGGTAATGGCCTGTTTTCCCGCAGTAAAAACATCTAGATTTTGGCTTCTTATAAACATGGTGACTGTATTCATAGTTTGCTAAATTTCTTTTACTTTCATTCTGTGCATTAATGACATTAATGATATTCTTATTAACATGGTGACTGTATTCATAGTTTGATACGTTTCTTTTACGGTCAGTTTGTAATTTATTGACATTGTAGTTTCTAGTTATTGTTTTATCTTCCTTAACTTCCTTGTGCTTCTTCATTGATTCTAGTTCACACATACATTTCTGGGTTAATTTCTCCATTTCTTTGTTAAATTTATTCTTGAGTTCTAGTATATCTTCTTTATAGTTTGACTCCAATTTCCTAAGTAAATCTTCAATAGGTACGTTCTCTTCATTGTGGCTTATTAAGTTCACTGATTCATTAATCATCATTAGTTTATCATGATTCCTGCCATTCTCCGATGGACTTATTAAATCATCACTGCCATTAACTGATGGGCTTATTAAATCATTTTGACTGCCATTCTCTGATGGACTTACTTAATACAACTTTCAATAATATTCTCGTGTACCTGCGTTTGAGTCAATAAAGAGTCAATCTTAAGACATTCTAATGTATCTGTCACCTTTAAATCATTATTAAGTTCAACCTCTGTTTTATCCTTGGGTTTCAATTCTTCCTGGACTATGTTACTCTGTTCTTCATTCCAAAGGTTGCCAATATTTACTTCTTCAAGTTCTGCTTTAAATTCTGTCTGTTCACTTTCTAATTTTGGTTCATGTACGTATGTAAAATCTCTTAATCTATCACGCATTATTTCTATCCCATCGTCTAATTCTCTCATTGCTTTTCCATGAGCTAGTCGGGGTTGTTCTGTTTCTTTGCCCCATGCTTCTTTTGCTTCTTCTGTGTCTTGTTCAAGTCTTAATGCCTAGATCCCTCGCCATTTCCATATATTCTTCCAGTCTTGACATCTTGACCATCGGAATGTCGAGCTCCCTCATTATCTCTTTAAAATATGTACGACTTGACATTTTGATCTGTTTTCTATTTATGACATAAAATGTAAAGTCATATAATATTAGTTAACAATATGTATGTGTTAATTTATTTAACAATATCCTTTCTTGGTTTCTGGCTTGTCAGTTGATATCGGACATCTGGTAATCCATGAAAAGTTCATAGTACATATATACGTCCAAAATAGTAACGTTCACTTTGTTAATAAATTCCAAATAGTTGAAGAAAATTTCAAAAATAGTTCCAGTAACCTTTTCATAGAAGAAATTTGTCCAGTTTTAAATAAGACAGCTTTAGTAACAGTTTAGGAACAGTTATAAATAATAAACTTGATCTGCTAATCCACAGTAGAAAAGAAACACTAATACTTGATCAGCTAAATCCTGATAGAAAAAAAACACATTTAGGTGTAACAATAACCTGTTACAGACGATATTTATTCGACATTGGTTAGACAATGTCGAAAATAATGTGATAACAATTATCACGTTGATTACTTGACTTGACTTTAGATAACTTTCAATAACTTGACGTACTTGCTTGATATACCAGCGTTGTTCACTGGCAAACAGTGGAAGACCACTTCAGAAACGTTGAAAACTGCTTTCAATAATAATGTGACAATTCTTTGATCACTTGTGGTAACACTGTAACTTCGTTGAAGATTTCTGACTTCAATCTAATCCATCAATGTAACAACATCAGTGTAACAACTTAAGTATACGTCCACGTCAGCAAACAAAGTAACAAATGTTGACCATTTCTGACAATAATGTATCAGCTTCTTCAATCACCTGACTCCAATGTATCAACACGTCTGATAGTAATGTAGCAACACTTCTTCAATTGCTTCTGACAATGTAACAGTAGTAGTAGACGCTCACTTCTGACAATATGTAGCAACTGGTGTTGCCCCCACTTCTGACACCATATGTAACAACATCAATTTCATTGTTGTTATTGTGGGTACGTTTAATAAACTCACACGAGCAATAGTAGAAACTTCAACTATAAAACTTTATTTACACTTTATACAGAAAATTAATAGATCCATAGTAAATCTATAGTCACAACTGGTATAAGTACAATCACAGTCACGAATCAAAGTGACGTAGTGACATCCTACATTCACAGCCACAGTCTTCAAGCGCAAGCACAAGTCCAAGTCCTTTCGTTCACCTTGCGCTCCCCTTTTATTCACAACTTTCTCTCCCCTTACGTCAATGAGCGATCTCACCCAAAAACATGGAAAAACACATGACGATCGCTCAGACAGTCCTTCCGCTAGCCAGGTACTCTACATTCATGCAACTTCATGTAAACACAATAATATAAACATACCTAATTATACAGTCTGTGACACCCTTTAACATAGTATTTGCAATAACTGTAAACTAAACTGTAAAACAATTTTGTTGGATTCTTCTCAGTAGAAACACTTCATTACTGAACACACATGACACATGACAGCAGGCTTTGATATTTAAAATTATAAAAACTATTAGAGTACTGACTTAAAATAAGTGACGTCACATCCAACAAGGCCGTGGCTGCTGTGTCCAGTTCTTGTGATAGCTCGATGTAGCTGACAGATGATTGGTCAGTTTTTTCTTCTATCCACGCCTTACTTTTTGTAACAACCTTGTGATCACAAACGTAAACATTATTTCAACTGGCCACGTTTTGTATGGCTGTTTTATGAGAAAATGTCAAACGTAAAACACTTTCTACCGTCTAAATGGTATATTACTACTTATGCCTATATAATGTTTAAATCTCTAAATAGTATATTTAAAAACAATATATATTATTTAATGAAGATACTAGGGTAAATTAATTTTACTTTTCAAAATCTGTTTTGTGTAATTAAAAAAAAAATGTTGTCTCAACATAGCACCCATTAATATGTTATAAAATTAGTAGTAGCCTTAAAATGTTTTCATCTTACATTTTTCATACGTTCAATCACAGGTCCCAGAACTTGTATCTGTTCTTCTAAATAAAGTATCTGTTCTGTAACAGCCCTAACCTGAATTCGTGTTGGCATCTGGTTTAAAAATCGAATCTTCACTTATCACATTTTTTTGCTAGTCGTATTAGTCAATGTGATACATCATAGATGACAGAGACATTTGGTTTACTAACAAGGGTTAAAGAGGATATTTTTAATCTCTTATGCTTATGACAGATGTGTTGAAATAATTTGTTTCATGAATCATAATTGTATTTTTTTTAAAAAAAGGGAGTAGAATGACGTTTATCCGTGGTTGTTACGATCGTTGATGCAGAGATAAGTGTAAACATTTGCAGCCGTGTGTGTTAGCATCTGTGAAAATATACATTGCCCCCCCCCCTTTACCGCATGACTGCTACAACAAAGCAAAAAAATGTCAAGGAGGTGTGATACAAAGGTGTAATACAAAGGAGTGATACAAAGGTGTGGTACAAAGGTGTGATACAACATTGTGATACAAAGGTGTGGTACAAAGGTGTGATACAAAGGTGTGATACAAAGGTGTGGTACAAAGGTGTAATACAAAGGTGTGATACAAAGGTGTGGTACAAAGGTGTAATACAAAGGAGTGATACAAAGGTGTGGTACAAAGGTGTGATACAACATTGTGATACAAAGGTGTGGTACAAAGGTGTGATACAAAGGTGTGATACAAAGGTGTGGTACAAAGGTGTGGTACAAAGGTGTGATACAACATTGTGATACAAAGGTGTGATACAAAGGTGTGGTACAAAGGTGTGATACCAAGGTGTGATACAAAGGTGTGGTACAAAGGTGTGGTACAAAGGTGTGATACAACATTGTGATACAAAGGTGTGATACAAAGGTGTGGTACAAAGGTGTGATACAAAGTTGTGATACAAAGGTGTGATACAAAGGTGTGATACCAAGGTGTGATACAAAGGTGTGATACAAAGGTGTGGTACAAAGGTGTGATACAAAGGTGTGATACCAAGGTGTGATACAAAGGTGTGATACCAAGGTGTGATAACAAGGTGTGATACCATATCGTGAAACAAAGGTGTGATACCAAGGTGTGATACAAAGGTGTGATAACAAGGTGTGATACAAAGGTGTGACACAAAGGTGTGATACCAATGTGTGATACCAGATCGTAAAACAAAGGTGTGATACCAAGGTGTGATACCAAGGTGTGATACAACATTGTGATACAAAGGTGTCGTACCAAGGTGTGATATCAAGGTGTGTGACCAAGCTGGGATACAAAGGTGTGATACCACATTGTGATACAAAGGTGTGATACTAAGGTGTGGTACAAAAGTGTGATACAAAGGTGTGATACAAAGGTGTAGTACAAAGGTGTGATACAAAGGTGTGATACAAAGGTGTGGTACAAAGGTGTGATACAAAGTTGTGATACAAAGGTGTGGTAAAAAGGTGTGGTACAAAGGTGTGATACAAAGGTGTGGTACAAAGGTGTGATACCAAGTCGTGATAACAAGGTGTGATACCAGATCGTGAAACAAAGGTGTGATACCAAGGTGTGATACAAAGGTGTGGTACAAAGGTGTGATACCAAGGTGTGATACAAAGGTGTGGTACAAAGGTGTGGTACAAAGGTGTGATACAAAGGTGTGATACAAAGGTGTGATACAAAGGTGTGGTACAAAGGTGTGATACTAAGGTGTGATACCACAGTGTGATACAAAGGTGTGATACTAATGTGTGGTACAAAGGTGTGATAAAACATTGTGATACAAATGTGTCGTACCATGGTGTGATACAAAGGTGTGATACCAAGCTGTGATACAAAGGTGTGATACCACATTGTGATACAAAGCTGTAATACCAAGGTGTGGTAAATTAATTTCAGCAATTAATTTTCAACATTAACGGTATATTCGTATATAAGTCGAAAGGCACTTTCAGTGCAATTAGGCGTTAAAAGGGTTTTTAAATTATTCTTAAATAATTACATACAGTATATCAATATAATTGTATCATTACGGTGCATTAGCTCAACTATCTAGTCTGTGATAAGTCAGTTGTCTAAAGTTTATCTATCACTAACTTTAGGTTTGCTTAAAGTAAACTTACATTTGACTGAATAATCCTAAGTTCTAAGCTGTTTAGCACTTGATTTATTCACTCCACTTAATCAACAATGGTGAAGTCATGAACACAAGTTGCAGCTACAACTTAGTGATGCCTGTTTTATGTGTACTTTGTACTGATCCGTTCTTTGGCTTAATTTCAAACCATTTATACTACATGTAGCATCATATCGTGTTATCATGCAATCATTGAATTGTTTTATCACTTAAATCTGCTCTAGGTCAGGTATGATCAACTCAAACCGTACATAACTGCTGATCGACTGTTTATAAACTAAACTTATTGTATGTCAGCGATACATTTCTCTGCATTACACAAAGTCAGCGTAGAGTAAATAACAAGCAAATAAAATGGGTGAAATATAAACCTAGGATCACTGTCTTTTAAATCTCAGTGGACGCCAGAAGGCCGATTTCCCAAACGGAAATTGCCTGAATGTGACAAATGCCCGAATTTCAGTGCAATGATGTTGTATAGGTAATTGTTATTTTAATTTCTTTTAATAAGAAGCAGGTTTTACTATAGGCCAAAAGCTGAAGTTACTACAGGTTGAATACGTTTGTTATTAGCACGGTTCAGTAGACAAAATATTTTGTAATATTATTTCTTTCTTCGAGAATAATAATTTTAATTGAAGTCTTCTTTTTCTTCTTCTTCGTTCTTAATTATTAGTGTTGAAGGTGATCGAGATTTATCTGCCAGCGCGTTTGAACTCGAGACTTTGTTCGAATTTATCAACCATGAGCTTTTTGCCGACTCGACCACGCCTCCAACACAATTAAGCGTTACGTGTCAACTGGTTAAGCGCCATTGAGGCCATTGACTACGATTTCATAGCCTTTGTCCAACCAAGAACAATCTACAAGGCAGCAGTTGTTTTAATTTTGGAGTAGTCTCTCCTAGAAGAGTGGCTGTCCCCAGCTAACGAGCCTCATCTGCCCGGGGGTTCGAACTCGAAAACCCCTCCCTACTTCCATTCCTGTATAATTTTTTAGGTGATTTGATATAGCATTAACATGTATGTGTTTATGTTAATTTTAACCTTGTAAAGTGTTTGAAGTACCCACTAGAACTCTCTCGATTAGAGATGACGTAGTCGACTCTAGCTGGAAATTCGAACCCGACACTTTCCGGTTATCACATGACATACCACACGGCCACATCGTTCCAAAGTTAAAGAATGAAAAGGGTAACGGTCGACTTCAGCCTTGGTGTGAGTTACTTTAATGTGTGCTTTCACACGCGATGTTACAAATGGATCTTTATGTTATAACTGGGGTCTATGTTACCTGCAGTTATGCAGTAATCGGGTATTCAATACTATTATGTTCCTCTCTAACCATTTAGTAGTTTTTCCTAGAGTTTCGACATAGAATAGGACGACTTTAACGTAGATATATGATTCGACAAGATGAAAGCAGTTAACTTCACTATTTGTTTATACTATAAAAATACATAGAACGACTTGAACGAACGATACTGAGACTTGACAACACTACGACCTCACCCCAACACAACAAGATTAAGACAAACTAAACTTCTTCCCCGGCAACAACGATCCTACACTGGAAAGTCACAGTCTTGTGTACAGCGTCACATCTTCATGCGTTCATTATATATTTCGCAGCAATATTCTTTCACATTTACACGCCTGATCAAACAAACATCATAACACTTTACTTGAGGCTAAAATTAAACATTGTATTAAGTAGATAAATTTTAAATCAGTTCCCTTTTCACCTAAATTATGTTTATGCTATGTTATTAATTAAAAATGGAAATATCTTTCAATATATCTACTATAAATCGAAGTTATAAAATAGACCTCAATTACCGCTTTTAGTTAATTTTGTCAGCGAATGCGAGAAAAAAAATGTCGGAGATGTTTGTGTTATTGTCTGTTTAAAAACATCAATATTTTGACCATACACTTAGCACTAACATACAGAGAAGATGGTGATGGTATTGAATTAGATGGAAATGTGTAAAGATGACCAAACAAATGACATAAACCATTTTACCAATATGTGTTTCTGATAAATTTGATGATGTTATTCATGATAAACTTAAGCCATCAAAATTGTTACATTCATCATTTTTGTCTCATTTAGATGAGAAATTTGTACATCAAAAACTGGCTCAATTGATTAATGCATTTCCTTCCATTTTTGGTGATATCCTAAAGAAGCAAATGTTCCCCCTCATGATGTTGATGTAGGTGATGCCAAAACTGTGAAGCAGCATCCTTACCGCGTTAACCCAGAAAAAAGCTGATATCATGAAACATGAAATTGAATACATGTTAGAAAATGATATCATAGAACCAAGTTTTAGTAATTGGAGTTCCCCTTGTCTTTTGGTCCCAATGGGAGATAGCACATTCAGATTTGTATTTGACTAGGGAAGTCAATGCCCTTACTAAATCTGACTCCTACCCATTACCTAGAATAGAGGATGTTATTGACAAGATTGGTCAATCTAAAGTTATTTCCAAAATTGACTGTCAAATTGTTTTGTCAGACCGTGCCAATGAAATATCTGCATTTGTAACTCCAAATGGTTTCTATAGGTATAAACGCATGCTGTTTGGTATGAAAAACGCTGGACAAACGTGTCATTAACTCTGTTATTGCAGATATTAACAAATGTGATGCTAACATAGATGATATTGTAGTGTATTCAGATTCTTTTGATGAGCACATTGTCCAGTTAACTAAACTTTTCAAAAAATTGTCAAATATTAATTTCACTGTTAATCTACACAACAGCGATTTTTGTAAAAGTTCTAGTTACAACAGTTGATGTTAACTTAAAACAGTCATTGTTATCACAGTCAATATTAAGTTACAACAGTCGATGTTAAGTTACAACAGTGTATATTAGGTTACACTAGTCTATATTGAGTAAAAACAGTCAATGGAAGGATTACAGTGTCTATGTTAAGTTACAATTCAGTCTATTTCTGCGCATTAGTTCATGAACAGATCACTGGACGTGGTGTAACATGGGGTATGTTCAACATCAGTATAGTGTAGGCGGATGGTACAGCGTACGACTGCTAACCCGAAAGTCTCGAGTTCGGATCCCATAAGAAGTCCCTGAGTCTACCCAGCTCTAATGGGTACCTGCCTCGCGTTATAGAATTAAAGGTGACTGGACAATGCAGATCTCATATTTGCCGAGGACGTTATAACAGATGAGCTCTACTTCTTCTGCTTTACATGTCTCGGGAACGACCGAGAAAATATGGTCTGCAAGTAGACGTCAGTTTATTTACGGACCAATGCGTGTGGTGTATCACTGACCATGGTGAGTGAAAGGACTTATTGAAATGTCGCCTAGTTTATGTCGACGTTCTGATATTAACCAAACGCACTAACGATACATTATGTCGTTCGTTTACAGTGGTCACAAAATTTGAATGCTCCTGGGTCATGTCAAGGGTCATCCTTAAACGATGTCCCGCTTTCAAAACGATTTTACCAACTTATTATCAGTGTGAGTATTACAACCCCACTACCTTCCCAAAGACATCACATCACAGCCAACCACCTCCCTCAAAATGGCTGGTTTTATTATATTTAAAGCGGTTTTCTTGCTAAACTATTTACTGAGGCTGGTAAACGCTGTATATATTGATCAATTTTAAGTGAAATTCATGAAACAAGTTTTTGAAAACGTGAACTTATGGCTAACATTAGTCTTTCTGTCACGGCTTTTTAAACCAGGGGAGTTGACCAACACTATCAGTCGTCATCACACAAGCCGCCCCCTCCCCCACCTCTTCTTTATAAAAATGAATATAAGGCACCACCGGGGTGGTGTAAACACACCTAGATCTACCGCATAGACTGAGGCTGTTTTCACACGACACAATATGGTCAGGGCTATGTATGTCAATATGGGACAAAACAACCATCTCAAAAGGATGTTGCTGAGTTAACCCAGCTCATATGGGTACCTGATCTACTTTAGGGAAAGCAAGGTGGCTAATTATAGAATTTACAACACTGCTTAGATAAAACTGTAGGTATTCGTAAATAACCGAATAATGTTTATATTGGGCTGAAATATGGCTTTAAGGAGTTCATTTTAGAATATTTCAGTGCTGATAAAGTAGAGCAACCGACACATTAGAGTAGCCGATAGATTAATGCTGCCGATAGAGTAGAGTAGCCGATAGATTAATGCTGCCGATAGAGTAGAGTAGCCGATAGATAATGCTGCCGATAGAGTAGAGTAGCCGATAGATTAATTAATGCAGCTGACACATTAGAGTAGCCGATAGATTAATGCTGCCGATAGAGTAGAGTAGCCGACAAATTAATGAATGCTGCCGATAGAGTAGAGTAGCCGATAGATTAATTAATGCAGCTGGTACATTAGAGTAGCCGATAGATTAATGCTGCCGACAGAGTAGAGTAGCCGATAGATTAATTAATGCAGCTGACACATTATAGTAGCCGATAGATTAATGCAGCTGATACATTAGAGTAGCCGATAGATTAATGTAGCCGACAGAGTAGAGTAGCCGATAGATTAATTAATGCAGTTGACATATGTGCTAAAAAGAAAATCGGTCGTCTAGATAACGCATAGAGTTTCGTTTATTAATCTATAATGCCCATGTAAAGTACATAGTTGAAGCAATCCTTTAAGTCGTCGTCATCTGGTTTAAGGGATACAGTACTGAGACGTGTTGTATCGAGTTCTAAGTTG